CGCACGCACAGATTAATGATGGTTGAAAAAGTACACGACGATTAATCCAATTAAAACCTCAAAACGCGTGGCGATTAGAGAGACACACTCGCGGACCACGCGGTGAAACGACTGCCGTGTGCGCTTCGCTTAGCCAGGTACAAGGCTGGTACGTAGCGCTAATACACGTCGAACAAAAAAAGTTGTTTATACACAAATGTACTGATAAACTCGTAGTTGAAAAGACCAAACTAAATGTGACGTGTAAGTATAAACGAAAAATATAATTAAAATATTAACTTACAAAAGCGGAACTCATCGGAATCCAAAACACAAAAAGTTCTATAAATAAATTAAAACACAAGTTAAAACATTTCATAAATTTTATTAATATTATATTCACACATCAAAGTAAAACAAATAATCAGTTGAAAGTTACCTAGAGAAACCCGATGGATCATCCTAATGTTGAATAAATCAACATGACGCTGAACTGAAGCGACCGGCAACGGCAACTGCACACGATACAACCGCAGCGGTGAAAATTTACTCGATTATCAATCTATTGCAACACTGATTACTGAATCATATAAGTCGCGAGAGGCACATCCGAAGCAATAACAGACCGGCACAAAACTGGCCGCAGCATAACCGAGTATGCTAAGACATGCCGAATAAACACACCACAGCTGACGATATGATAAGACAGCCTGCTGCCCCGCGTGTAAGTGCATCCTCATGCGCAAAGCCTTAGCACACGCGACTGTATGCAACAAGTAGATGCGGCGCTAGAGGACGGCGCGCGGAACACATGCGATAAAAAATGGTTTATACACAAACGCAGGTAACAGACAACACTCACATACCTACACACGCTTGCACGTAAGGAAGAGCGTTAGTGCGTATGTATGTAAACGAAACAACTTAGCACTATCTGATATATTTATTATTTATTAAAAAATTAAATAAATCATTTATTAAATACTGGTTTGTTTCGTGTATGATTTTCGTTATTTTCAATTTCATTGCAATCTCAAGCTTGTTGCATATTTGATAAATGTGCTTTGAATATTTTTACGCTGATAAATATTTTCATATGTTAGATGACGCTACGATGTACGTTTTTGCATTAAATATTGCTTGTTGGTGGTAGTGAGTGCACACCGTGTCCGTGTGCGATCACGCGATTTCGCGCAAAAGATAAGTTTGTTTACCTGCAGGTATCGAATCTTTATTTCGTGGAATCAAAACACAACGTTGCTGTTTATTATATTATATTTATTTCCATTTCAATGTATAGTGTAATAATACTAATAATTGTACCACTTCACTTTGCAAAATTGAAATAAATAATTATATAATTAATTCCAAAACATTATTTAAAACACCAATTCTTTCTCGGCAATGAAAATACTAAAAATTTCCCAATTATTTCAAAACGGGCAATAGGGGGGACGATAATTTTTATCGTTAATTTTCGATAGCGACTATCATCCAAACTAAATGAGATTGGAAAATAATTGAATTTCATGGGGAAAATGGTACAAAAACACAACTGAAACTGCTAAAATTAGCAATTTTACATTTTTTGTTGATTTATTTCAATTGCAAATATTTTGCAAGGGCACAAAACTATATCTTCAGGAAGAATTCTGGTTCCAATAAAATTCAAACAAATTAAAAAAATCATAAATGGTTCCCGAGATATGATCTGTTTTCTCCCGCGCGGCAAACTTTAGCGGTCATTTTGAGGCAGTTATGATCGAATTTCGCCGGGTTTCAGGGGTGCATCTTAAAATGCACTCTTCCCTATCATAAAATAAGGAAAACACTAAAATATAGCAAAGGGTTCCCGAGATATGGCCTGTTTTCCACCGCGTGGTTTGAATAATGCAAGAAAAGAGAGTAAATTTTTGACGGCCATTTTGAGGCAGTTACGGTCAAATTTCGCGGAGTTTCAGGAGTGCATCTTAAAAATGCACTCTTCCTCTATCATAAAATAAGGACAACACTAAAATATAGCAAAGGGTTCCCGAGATATGGCCTGTTTTCCACAGCGTGTTTTGAGACAGATACGACCGAATCTCGCGGTGTTTAGGGGGTGCATCTTAAAAATGCACTCTTGCCCGATTATAATATAAAGAAAACACTAAAATATTACAAAGGGTTCCCGTGTTTTGGCCTGTTGATCCCAGCAAAACAAAAATATTTAATACAATGTAATTATACATATGAATTATATTCATACGTTCTAGAAAGACAAATAAGTTTTGTTGTTCAGTTAAAAGTTACCTTGGCTAGTACGATGGATCATCTTAATGATGAATTAATCAACATGACGGCGAAATGTATCCCATTCAACCGACACCGAACACAACTCACAATTAAACATGTGAAGCCAGGATTTTGTAACTTGCACTATGCACAATGACGCGAGAAATAACAGGAAAAGTACTATAGATGCTAGTTGCAAATAAATACTCGCTTATTGATCTACTACAACACGAATTGTCGAATTAACCTGAGAAAAATATGAGCCGTGAGAAACGCGTCACAATCAACCAAAGACCGGCACGGAACTAACTTCAATCCACTGAAACAAAATAACAAGTTCGAACACGACCGCTGTTCATAAGATAGACTGATGTGAAGGGTAAAGTTGGCGCGGCAATAGACATGATACCTACTTGAGATTCAAACCAAACGGCATGCAGATGGATGCATGCATGGAGATGGCAACAATTACACACCCGAATCTTGCGTGCGGCGTTTCACACGGCGAATGCAATAAAAAAGTTGTTTATATACAAACGCAGATAACAACATTGTGTTCAAAACAATTCTCGGGTCCACGATTGCGGATAAATATAAAAAGAAGCAGAATAAATCCATTTTATATTTGCGCATCGTAGTGGCATCTGTGAATAACACAGATAGAAGTCCCGGAATTTAAATGATTAAAAATGATGAAAAATTAAATTTCGAATTGTGTAATTCTGATTTCTTATACTAGAAGATTGCATGATTTTAATTTAATAAATTTAAATTTTTTACATAATTGTTTTGTAATATTTTGTTACATCGTAACTATCCAACTCTACTTAGCACCTACACCAATAATAAGTAAATTTAAGCCAAACTGAATTAAGATAAAATAATAAATTGGGCATAAATTTATTAATTTTTAATCCATGAACATTCAATTTTTACCCGTCGGAATAAAGAACAACAATATTTAATAAATATTTAATTATAATTGGTAGTAGTTTCATTGGTGTCAGTGAAGAAGCCACAAAACTGCAATAAAAACATCAAAATATTATATTTCTAAGCGCAAAACAATACCTGCTCGAGTAACGCGTCGCACTGATAACTTTAAACAAAACCTGCAACACACTCTCCAAGTTTTTACTAAATAGATTAAATTTCCAAAATTAAAAGGAATACGAATATAAATACAAGCAACTAAGAAACAATCTCCAAATCAAAAGATGTACGCCGCAGCAAGTGTTAAGCGACTGAAAGTCACCCGAGAAGCAACGCGTCCGATGGAAAATGCAGAAACTTTCCAAGGTAAAAATATCTTTTATAAACAAATAAAATCATTACCCATTTTTGGAATTTAGGAATAGGTAGAATTGAATATAAACCCGACGCAAATTACACATGTGATGAACAACTTTCTTACCGCTATTACAATGCCGCGGAGAGGATTCATGGTCGCACTATGGAAGAATGGCTGCGTCCTTCTGTCGTGTACAACACCGAAATGTCTTTCTATACCCACCAGGCACCAATTCTGTACAAAACTTTAGAAGCCCGGCATACTTCGATGGAAACAACAAAGAAAAATATTCGCGCAATGTTCGAGTTATGCCTTAAAATGGGAGTGAAATTTTGGTCCGGGTACGAAGACGATCTGGTACCCGACGGGGACACTTTCGAAGAAAATTCAACTAATTACGAGCAAATTTGTGAGCTGCTCAATGAGTATCAGCAGAAAACTGGCGTAAAACCGCTCTGGATCGGTGTAAATTTTCAACATAGCAGGTAAAACAAATATTTAACATAAATATTCTAAACAATACTCAAATATGACTTTAAAGATATGCTAACGGGGCCATGACAAATCCGGACCCGAACGTGATGGCTTTCGCAGGCTATCAGACAAAACGCACTATCGAAATGGCGCACAGATTAAACGCAGAGTGTTTCCTTATCAACGGCCACCGCGAGACCTACGTCAACACATTGAACACAGATTTGGGCAAAGAAATCAAACATTACTCGCGTTTTCTTAAACTCCTGATCGAACACCGTGACAAGATTGGTTTCCGTGGTCAAATGTTGTTCGCGCACCAAAATAATCTCTCAAACACCGACACATTAAGCCAACATGAACATTACTACACAAACAATGCATTCGACTTGATGTTACTACTGAAACATTTAAACTACGACCGGTATTTCAAGATCAACGTTCGGCCAGGTCATGCTTTCAACATGGCGCATGCGTGAGTGATATTGCCACTTATAAAATAACACAAATTAAAAAATATCATGCATTACAGATATGGATGTTCAGGTTGCCTGAATATTAAATGCCCAGAAGATATCACTACTGCCACATTAACAATTCACGCAATCGTTGAAAAGGGAGGTTTCGGTCAGTGTGGTATCACATTCGATTTGCCGTTCAATAATCAAAGCTACATTGAAGCAAAAGAAGCGATGGAATTGTATGTAAGCGCATTGGATTCTTACGGCAAGGCACTGCGCTTTGCCGTGAAGTTGTTAAATGACACACCAATAAATAAACAACTACAGACACGTTACTCTGGTTTTCAAACCGGTTGGGGGATGAAATTCATGACACTGGACGCTTCTCTGCAAGAGTGTGAAGATGTTGTCAAAAAGTTAAACGAGTCGAATGCGCCGTACACTTCAAACAAATCTAATCATTGGTTTGTTGTCCTGCAACGCTATGTCGATGCACAAAACTTGAAATAATTCCCATAACGTTCATTTCAATTTTTGATTTCTCAAAGCACAACCAGTAATAATATGTTTAACATTATAAAACGTACAAAACAATTTTGGATTATAATCATTGAATCAGATAGTTCGGGTAATTTTGTAAATTGTATCAATATTGGTAACTTACGAAAATAAACGATTGCAAGTTTTAGTCATATTCGTCGAATTATTTGGTTTCCGCGTGACTAATACGCTCGCTCGGCAACTTAACGTTAAGTTATAATACTACAAAACACAATGGGTGTTAGCAAGTTAAAACAATTGTTCTAATTAAGTAGTGTGTGTTAAGTATGTAAGTTAAGACTAGAAACCGAAGCAATTAAGGAAAATCGTCGCTATCACAACCCGCCGCCCGGACATTCTGGATATTTGAAATTCGTTTTCAATTTTTAAATATTTAAATAACGCTAATGGTAGGCTTGTCTCTTCTGCTTTCCTCACAGTTCCTCCGACGGCTCTGTACCAAAGTAACGATCCCCAAAGTTGCCCATACCAGGCAGCACGTAGAATTTTTCGTTGATCTCTGGATCGATAGCGCTGGTAACCATCTGCACTTTTGGGAAAGCGTAGGCAATTGACTGCACGCCCGATTCGGCCATCAACAGCGACACGATGAGAATGTTGCTTTCAGACACGTCATGATCTAAAAGCACGCGGATTGCCATCATGGCCGCCGCTCCTGTCGCCACCGTTGCATCCATTAATATCACCTTGTAATCTTTGATATCTTTAGGTAATCTGAGATAGAATAGCTACAACAAAAGAGTATATTATGAGTAAATTTAATATCAAATGAAAAAAATAAGTTTCCGACATACCTCAGGTTCACCTGTATGAAAATTGGTCTGAATTAAAATCTTTCCTATCCTAATGTCCTTACAAACGTCCGAAAAAGCTTGTTCCATGGTTTCTCCAGCGCGCAAAATTGACACACCGCATATTTTATTCGTCCCCATACGTTTACCTAAATTATAAACACAAAACAATCAAAATTTGCGCTGAAACATTCCAAACAACAACTTTTACCTTTGTAAAATACACCCTGTGGTGTCTCCACGACCTTCTCAACAAAATTCATCAAAGAGAGCGTATATTCGATCACAAGCCGTATCAATCGCTTGCTGTAAAAAATGAACTCATCACGCGGTGTGTCCTTGTTCCTAATGAACGTGTGTAGCCCTTGAATTTGCGGCGTCGAAGGTAACAAACGCACAGTATCCGGACGTTTTTGTCCAGCATACGTCTGCGTCTGTGCTAATTCCTCCCGCAATTTAAACCCACGCTGAACACAAAAATATGTTAATCAAAACTTTGGAAATAGACTAAACAATCATTTAATTTACCAACTGAAGTTGTGCGTGCACATGCTGCACGATCAGCTGAATGGCGACTTCATTTTCGCCACCGCGCGGGACGATAATATCGGCATGCACCATCAGTGGCGCGATGTAGTGATTAAACGATGGCTGCACCATTCCGGTGTACTGTTTCAAAACACCTTCAAGATCCCGTCCGCGTTGAGAAATATCACGCTTTAAGCGGCGCGCCAGACGCACGTCTGCGTCAGTATCCACAAAGATTTTCATATCCAGCATTTCACATACTTTCTGATTGTAGAAGGTTAAAATGCCTTCGAAGATGATAACGTTGGCGCCGTACATGGTTTTCTGGTGAAGAAAAAACAAACATTTACGCTGGGCATTAGCGTGTGTGATGATGCTTATTTACACAAGCAGCCGCGCGACATGTGTGGTTGTATATAATTGTGTTTCAAGGCGATATCAGCACAATTTACATGCCTTTAATGTGGTAATAAATATCGAATGTTTAAAGGAACATTTGAGACACGACCGAAACAAAAAATAAACATAAAACCAAATTAAATTTAAACAAAAACCTATAGTTTTCTTTTCTTACTCACCGTGCGGGTCTCCCTTGAATGCGTGACGAAGTTATAAATCGGCACCTCAACTTTCTTGCCCTCTTTGAGTCGCTCCAGCGTTTCAATTAGCAACTCAAAGTCAAACGCGTCCGGATGATCAAAGTTATACTCGTTACGCGCCGACATTTCGTGCTGCTTTTCATTAAGCACTTTATAAAACGAATCCATGCTCAATAAAGTCACCCATGGCACGGCTAAATCCTCAATGATTTTTGCTGCGACTGTTGTCTTTCCCGAAGCGCTACCTCCACAAATGCCTAAATCATTTTTATTTTTACATTATTTTTAGAAATAAAAGCAGTGCGATTGAAAACGTACCGATAACAAAAGGTTCGACCTGTTGTCCGGCCATGTTATACCACGGCGGCCTGCCGGCCGTGTAAATCGTGCGATGTGGCGTGCGAATCATCGATTCGGCGGACGTCTTCTTCGACGACTGATTGATCGACGTAGTCCGCTGCCGGCGAGACCTGGGTGATTTCTGCGAACCTGGCCGCATCAAATCAAGCATGAAACTTTGTCCACTCATTTTGAATGCAAAATAATGACACATGCAATGTTAACAAATTGTGTCAACATCACAGATTGCACTTTGCTGGTTATCATTGTGAAAACAAGTGAATGATGCGATTTTCGTAGAATAAATTAAAACAATGAAAATACCTGTTGATGGTGGCCGAGGGCAATAGGGCACTGTGATTGGTGATGCGGGAGTGTTGTAGAAATCTCCGCTACGCTCACCATCGTCCCCGTCGCCGTCAGGGAACACCTCCGAGAAATCGACGTGACTTTCGGCGACATCGCTAATAAACAATACCAAAATAAATTTCAGAAGTTCAATGACTTGGCGACATTTTTAGGTAAAAATCGCATAAATTTGGCAAAGAAAAAAAATCAATACTTTTCTCATAACTCGTTCTAAACAATCAACCGAAATTATTTTTTAAATGTCTTAATTTCCAATTTGATACATTTATCTCGCGGATTAGAAATTTGAATTTTTGAAGGTTATGTCATCCCCCCATGCGGTAGTGCGTAAATAAAAGAATTTCAACAAATGTGGCAATTGCCAGCATGCAAGGAAGTCGCGAATGGCCGAAAAAGGTAATCCGAAAGCAAAAAATCAACCCGCGGTGATGACACGCTTAATATTTGCTGGACAAACTCGTACATGTGCAGCAACTGCATGCACGCTTTGGTGACGGCGGCCACAGGCGCGAGGGGCTTCAGACCCTCGTGGATGCTCATGGTAACTTTATGTATGTCAGCGCGCACTCTATGACGACGTGTGTTATCACCGGCACGGCGCACGAATCACCTCTAATTACCTATCAGAACTGGCGGACGATGGTGGGTCAATGTTGTTAATTTTCGCTGCCATGATTTTCCCTTTCCCGAATGTCGCGAACGGCGCACGCGGTGACGCGCACGTAATTTCAGCGGTGCGCACGCGCTTGTAACGGTATACCGCAGAATTTGCCAACTTTTTGATTTCGTTAGAGCGTGCTAGACGGATTTGGACTCACGATACGGCCAACCGCTTAATACAACTGTTGATTTGTGTTGCTTACCCTGCCATCGAGACACGAATCTGGTGTCTGGGTCGGCGACGTCGACATTTTTTGCGCATTCCACAAAATTTATAACAAAAAAAGAAGACAGTTTTCGGAACGAAAGCTGCAAGCAATCACGAATGCTTCGTCGGCTTTTTTTATGGGTCAAATCTATTTACAGCGATTAATCAACTTTCTGAGTCAATGCGCTTAATTAAAATGTGTGTCTCGCTGTAAATGATTTGAACTAGATTCAACATGCAATGCTTAAAAATGGTGGCGGCGGTTTGCAAATAACTGAATAATTTACATTAAAATATGCTCAAACGCGTATGCAATGATAAAAATGCATAACAATTGATAAATATTTGCACGATATATTCTTACCCAACCGTGCAATCATTACTGATAAGATAATCGGGTTGTGCGAGGCAGACATTCTTGTAAAATAAACTGTTATGCGGGTGCATGTTGACAATAGGCAACCAAATATGCAAATAAAATAAAATAACCAAAGTTACAAAGTTATTTTGAAGTATAAATACCATGTAAACAAACAATAAATGCATCGTGAAACAATCTTCGATTACAGAATTTATTTGCATCTGCTTTCAATTCAAATCTCCAAGGAATGCACAAGTGTAAAACCCGCTTTTTGCAATCACCAACGTCAGCACCAAGTTTCTTGTCTTTTCGCTCGTGCGCAAGTGCACAATATTATAAAATCCGACCTCATTCAATCCGCACATCATTTCATTTCCATTTATAAATAGACACCAAAGTATTTGTTGTGGTTGCAATTTTTGGCAATTTCAAGCCTCATTCTGTCTTAATACAATATACAACTAGAATATACAAAGAACTAGAGATAGAAAGAGGACAGCAGTATAAAACGTGCGCTGCAGTAATTTCCTTTGCCAATTACAATCTAACTCGTCAACAACAAATGTGTGCACACATTTCATATTCACGCTGTTCATAATAAGACTTCAAAAAATGGCGAATTGAACGCAAACGAAATAAACACGCGTGTTGTCCAAGTTTAACAATCATAGTTCAACAATATTGCAAAAACAAACATACGCAACACGCCAAACTCTCTCTGGTGCTTTTATACAAACTATAACAGTGTATCACAGAATAATATATTTTCATGTCTTCTATGATATATCCTCTCACGCGCTTTCTGTTAGTGCAAATGGCGACAAAGTACGATAAGTACATAAGTAGACTATATAAACTTTGCTATCTTAAACATATACATTCAGTTGTTAATATTGATGATGATGTTTTTTCTTCATTTCGAACGTCGAGTTAAATATTATGTACAAATCATAGTTTCAACATTATCATCTCAATACGGATCAATTGTGCCGTTTTGCTACTCGTTTAAGGCAGATATTATTACTTCTATTTCGCTAGTTAAAGGTTTTGAAGATGGTATGTACTTACATATACATTAAATTTACTTAAAAGGTGACGTAAGTGGTCACGCGTCGAAATGGTAAATATTCAGCACATTCATCTGTAATTTGTTCCCGCAATTTGGTTGCCTCAATTTTTTTTTCTCTCCTTCTCAAATCTCATTCTTAACTTCTCAATAACTTACTTTACACAATAATGGCAATGAAAAACAATTGCAAAGTTTGTGTGTGATGTGTATAAAGTTGCCTAACATACTAATGGTCCTTCTGCTATTTTTCGCCACCCAATCATTCAACAAGTCATCATACACGCACAATAAAATATAAATTAAGTAAAAACCACATTCGTCCTGCTAGAAATAAACTAAAACCGATTTAGCTGCAACGTATAACATGATGATAAAACATGTAAACCCAGAAAAATGTGCATAATACTTTTGGTGAATTGATATAAAATCAAGGGATTTTCAAATCAAAATCGCTTCGCATCAGTTTCATTCGCGTAGGTAGTCGTTATTTGTGTTGCACATTCTAGGGGGCCACAGCTAAAAGGGGGCAAGGAACGGGATGCGGCTAGTCGCGGCGGGTTTTCGCCCCAGGCCCCCGACGCCGTCATACGTATTCCAGCGGCGATCGCTTGCCCTGCTTACCGCGCTGTTCCATCACACGTTCAATAAGTTTCTTAATTTCAGATATCACCCACACTGATGATGTCAATGTGGTTAGGAATATCATATCTAAAGGATTGAAATATATGGCATTAGTTTATACGAAAAAAAAATCGCAAAGAATTAAATTTAAGTACTTACCCCACATAGTCAAAGCCTCCGTTTGGAATATTCTCTGCAGAGGTGGAAAGTATACAACCAGTAGCTGTCCCACAACGGAGAGCGTCACAGCACCGAGAAACATGCGATTCGAGAACAAACCGATCGTAAACACACTCTTGGTCTGCGACCGGCAAGACAACGCATTCCACATGTCGAAAAACACGAAACACGTAAACGTCATGGTGGTGTCTCGAGCGGTGATACCAGCTGAGCTCATCTAAACCCAAAACAACAAAATTTAACTCTACTGACACAAAAAAAAAGTTGACAACACAATTACCTCTTTTTGAAATACCCACAAGGTACCGGCGATAATAATACTGGCCGAAAGGAACACGTTACCAACCAATTTGCGTGTAATCATCGGTTCTTTGGTGTTGCGCGGCTTTTGTCGCACCACGTCGTTCTCAACAGGCTCAACGCCCAAGCTCTGCGCCGGTGGTCCATCCATAATGATATTTATCCAGAGAATTTGCATAGCGTTTAATGGATTCGGAATACTCATTAATGTAGCTAACGCGATCAGCGACAACGCCGCAATTGACGTCGAGAGTTGAAACCGTACGAAATTGCGAATGTTGTAGAAAATACTTTTGCCCTCTTCAATTGCAGCACTACAAAAATTAATATTTTTGTAATTTTAGTTGCCTATAGTTAAAAAGTAAACTTACATGATAGTGCCAAAGTCATCATCGGTCAGAATCATATCCGCCGCTTCCTTGCAGACATCCGTACCGTTTTGTCCCATGGCAATACCAATATCCGCCTTTTTCAGAGCTACCCCATCATTTACACCATCACCAGTCATGCCAACAATATGTCCGGTGCGTTGCAGTGACTTAACAATCGTCAACTTATTCTTCGGTGATACTCGGTAGAACACAGTCGCATGTTGTACAGCGGCATCCAACTCAGCCTCTCCGAACGCATCCAATTGTTCACCGGATACCACCTGTGAGGGGTTTGCTTCAATGCTAACCTGGTGTGCAATCGACACGGCAGTATCTCGGGAATCACCCGTTACCATTTTTACTTGCACACCGGATTGCAACAACGTCAAAATGTTATCCTGAACAGTCGCCCTCGGTGGATCTCGAATACCAACACAACCCAAATACATTAAATCTTGTAATGAATCACCGCGAGCCATCGCAACCACTCGCAATCCTTCCCTTGCACTTGATGATGCATCCTGCATATATTCCTGTACCCTATTCTGCGTCATAGGTTGCGCTACGCCATTTTGTGAATATTTCGTGCATTTCGCCAGCACCCGCTCAACCGCACCTTTTACAAAGAAGATTTCCTGTTTGGACTTATCGTACTTTTGTATACATTTAACCGCCATGATTTTATGCTCCGAACTGAATGGATATTCCTGTAAACGGATATAACGATCGCCAGGATTGAACATACCATGTTTCATGGCGGCGCAGAGTAGAGCGCCCTCTGTCGGCTGGCCTTTGAGTTCGCCATCTTGTAAACGAGCATTGTTGCACACCACACCCGCTTCGAACACCTGATAGATACTCTCGCGGGTTTTATCTGCTGAGTCAAATTTACGCAAGATCACCTCTCCGATGTCATTGTATCCGGTGCCGGTAATATCAGCTTGATAGAGTTCGGATGTGCGCACATCCGCGGCGGTCATTTCGTTTTTGGTAATCGTACCTGTTTTATCCGAGCAGATCACATTTACACAGCCGAGGGTTTCCACAGTAGGTAGTTTCTTTACAATCGCATTACGTTTCGCCATTCGCATCACTCCCAATGCAAGAGTTACGGTTACAACTATGGGTAAACCTATAAAATGGAAAAATTATAATGTAAAATATAAAATTATATAAAAATAAGTGAATTTATACCTTCAGGAATTGCAGCAACGGCCAAACTAACACCAATTGTAAACATTTCAAGCAACTGTTTGCCTTGAAGCCACCCAATGAGCATTATCATACCAATGATGGCAAACGAGATCATTGACAGTTGAGTTCCCAGACTATCCATGGATTTTTGCAGTGGCGTTTTTGGCGCTTCCTCTTCGAGCATCATTTTGAAAACACTGCCGAATTCACTATTCACGCCAGTATTAATCACAACACCCTAAAAATAACATTATATTATTAATTATTTAGAAAAATTTAAAATAACTTTACACCAAGAAAATTAAACGACACATATTCGCTCATTTTGTAAAACAAAGCAACGCCTACAAACGACAGATAGTAAATGAACGAATTCTGAATAATGCATTATTCAAAAATAGGATGTTTACACTACATCTAAACAGAATTTGAGAGTTAAGACGTAAACAAACCTTGCCGAAGCCGCATCGCACGAGGGTGCCCATAAACGCAATGTTGGTGTACTCGGTATGCGTGCCATTCGGATTCGAAACTGGAGCGACGTTTTTATCCGCCGGCTCCGTTTCGCCTGTGAAGCTGCTTTCATCGATACACAAATCCACCGCTTCGAAGAGACGAAGATCAGCCGGTACACGATCACCGACGCTCAACCGCACCACGTCACCGGGTACCAACTCGCGCGCCATGAATGAATCTGGAGATCCTTCTCGAATACTACAAAGAAAAAAATGTTTAAAAAAATTAAGAATAATTGAATAATTTACTTACCAATGTGCCTGTGGTGGTACCAATTTTGTAAGCTCCGCCAACGACTGTTCAGAGCGATATTCCTGCACGAAAGCAACCGTGACCACGATGACAATCGCCACAGTGATGCTGATGGCATCGTCGAACTGCCTCATGCACACGGAGACCAACGCCGAGGCTAGGAGCAATAAGATGAGTGGATTCTGGAATTGTTCCAGGTACTTCTTCCACGGCGGTTCGTCCTCCTTGACGGAGAACTCATTGTAGCCGGCGAGCTGCCGCCGATAAGTCGCCTCCTGCCAGCTGAGGCCCAAGCGCGGATCGACGCGCAGTCGGCCGGCAACTTCTTCGGCACTGCAAGCGCTTGCCTCGGCCGTGTTCAGCCACATTATGTCGGCGTCGCTCTATAACAAAATGACAAAATTAAAGCTCATGCTTTATATATCTATTGAAGACACGATGCCTTACATTCCTTAAAATTTGACGAAATATTATAATTATAGTAATTATAATAATAACTGGTTTTAAAAATAATTTGGGTAAAAAAATTAAGTTAAAACGGAAAGAAAACCGCGTAAATGACTTTTTAACGTTAAAATATTAAATGCATTTGTTTCAAGTATTTCATGAAATACTTGAGATGAGAATGGTATTGCAATTTTTTACTTTAGTGCCTAGGCAGTAAAATGCAATTTCTTCATTGAAGGTTATATTAAGACGGCCAATGATAGAAAAAACTTAATAAATAAAACTTTTTATGTCTTTCTGGAATTAAACATTTTTATGGCGGTTTTTAAAAATGAAATTAAAACAGATATGAAAATAGCCTAAAACACTTCTAAAATATGAAATATAACTGTTTAAATTTCCTGAAAAACTGGAGATAATAGAAATATAGCAATATTTACTTTAGTGCCTACACAGTAAAAGGCTATTTTAAAGCACATGCATAATATTAGTACTACCAATGACAGAAAAAACTAAAATAAATTTAACTTATTACGTGTTCCAGGAATTAAAAATTAATATTGACCATTTTTATGACGATTCTTAGCACAGCTAATAATAAAACAAAAGAAACGTAATGACAGGAGCATATTTATACGATAAGCATATTTAATAATAATCAACACAAACACAAATGCATCAGATGAAAATTATACCTACAACTTAAGCATTCCTTTCATATATTTTTTCCACAAATGTGAAAAATGTTTGCCTTATCGCAATGAACATGAACCGGAAGAAATTCAGACCCATTACAAACACAAAATGTGTACTATTTCATGTGGAAAAATGTACACCGCATATTTTCTATTCATCATCCGATATTAAAATAATTATACTGACGGAAGCATTCGACGCGCGCGCGAGCCATGTCTGCAAGTGGGCGGCCGCGGTGCGCATTGTGCGTCTTGACATTCGCAATGTATTTACACGACGCGCATTCGAGCTTAAATTAGGCCAATGCGACAAGTCGACTTCGACCGGCCATTACTAAGCATTCCATAATTTTTTACGCGTTTACTACCTCAAGTATTATCGCAAAACGTTAACCGTGGTCGTACCGAAAAAAAGTCGCAAACGGTGAATGATTGTGCGTTTTCTACAATGGGTGGCAATTTCACAGTGGTTAATCAACAATTGAATCAAGTTTTTGTTTTTACAATCTGCGATTGTTCACCCTGTATGGAAATAAATAACCAAGGAGCGGTATTGATTATTTAAAATTTGATATACTTTTCTTTATACAATGCTAAATATGGCAAGAAAAGTGATAAACTTGTGATATGATTAGCAAAAAATCATTTTATACACGTAAACAACGAATACGAAGTATATCTATATTACTTTTCTTGTCAGTATAATTGACAATGAACATGTATTCAGCAGAAAATGATACATTGTTTTGCAGAAAATGGCTAAAATCATCTTTTTAAACATAAAACAAAAAGTATGAAACACAATATGAAACATTTTTTTTATTTATTCGTTGATTGCCGTTTATAACAAGTCAAAAAGAAAATTTTTAATTCTTCCACTTTAAAACGCTACTTTTCCCCACGGTTTCGAGACACAAAAAATGGCATTTTAATCACAGATGGCTAAAATCGTGACTAAAGAACTTTAGTCACGGGTAAAGCTTGCGCCTGCGCATTTCTTTACGGTGCAGTACCAGGCCATACGAAATACGAATGAATTTCGAAGTTTTAAAATACTAAAGTTCAAATATAGAAACCTAAACATGAAAATAAAGTGGAAGCAGCAAAAATAGCATAAATGTTACGTTGTAAAACATTTTAAAATGCCGTTTAGCGCTACTGATAATTACTATACTACTCAAATTATACACGTTTCCAATGATAGACAACGGCTACTAAGTGTATAATTTTTTTCTTGTCCACATAATAGTAAGTAAACATATATTAAACGTAAAATAATACATAGTTTAGGAGAAAACGTCTAAAATTATCCTTTTGGATATGCTTGTTACGAATATCGCACACAATCAGTGCCACAGCGACACTTTATCATAACTAAGATTGCTGATTGCTGTTTACAACGATAAAAAAGTTATCTTTTACGCACTGGTGCATCCATTACTTCTACGATTTAATAAGCACTGGCCTCCAACTCCATACGGTACCATTAATATCCGTGAAAGAACAATCAACAACATTCAAAAATAACTACCAATTTAAATGAAACCATTTCAGGTGAATAATAACCACATATAACCACTTTCCACCAATTAAAATCCTAAAATCTACTTTTCAAATACAAAAACTTACTTATCTTCTATCACCCTCACACCGGAACTTAACATAACCTAACTTATACACCATAATCTACAACAAAACAATTTACTTACATTTTCATTCCCTCCGCACTCATACTAATCGCGATATTTATAATATCCACCGTTTGAAATTATTGATTCACCCCCCGTGTATTAGTATTGATCTCACAACCCGCTCCACGGCACAGGTATGTGTGCTCGCAGCAAAACGATGACACAAACAGCGTCGCCGACGAATCGACGACATCAACGTAGTCTTACCGAAACCACGCCATTGGAAACAATCGCAAGCGATTGTTACACACTCACATGCATGCATAAACTTACACTCCATCAATTTATACACACGCATGCAGAGTATTTTCTCAACAGGTTGATCAGCATAATCGATAAAAGTGCGGCGCAAGCTGGCCTATTTCGCTGTTTTATTAATATGACACATTATACTCTTCGGTATGGTATCTTTCCATCATGAATATGCAAAGCATTTATTTTTAATTACTACTTATTATAAAATCACAGTATTATCGAGTAATTTTTATTTCGCAAGATATGGATGTTTGCGGTGAGGTGACTGATGCAGATTGCAATTTGTTTGCTTGGATATGTGTATGGTGGGTTGCGTAACTCCGAAGCTACATTTTAATGGAAAAGTGTAGAAACTTTGGCTGAAAATGTTGAAATCAACCCCGTAGTAAATGACGAAAATGTAAAATTCAGTTTTATAGGTCGCGGCGAGTGTGCGGCAACGATACGGTGAATTTATCGATCCGCAAAGCTCGACGGCCGGTTTGCTACCAAACACACCACCAGCGGAAAATGTCAGCCGTGTTTAAAACGGCCAACAACTAATTTTTAAATATTAATTAATGGCTTAAATATATTTATTTTACGAGTAATACGTAAAATAATAGTGAATTTATTTTTAAAGCAATAAAATTTTCAAAAAACTTGATTGGCAATCAAATAATTCAATTCAAATCAATTATTTAATAGAAACAAAAAAAGAAACACGTTTCGGATGTTTAACCTTCATAATCATTTGAATTAACGGTTTAAAAAACTATTTCTACAAAATTACCTCAAAAAACAATGAACTATTAAAATTATTACCCCTAGAACTGATTTAGTTCAATTTTATGACAAATTATATAAATAACAACTCAAAAAAATTATTTTATAAAAAGTTATCAAAGAAAAATCAAAATTTTAATTTTTTTACTTAAAAATGCTTAAAAAACCTAAATTAAAATTTTTAAATATTCATAACTCACCGTAATTGGCGGTTTGGTGACAGCTTCCCCATAGATCACCTTTGTTTCCGGCTGTTCCGGAAGCTTCGCGTACTTTGGCTTCGTCACCGGATCTTTCATCGCGTCGCCAAATTAAAACAACTCTCAGGTTTTCAAAAAAAAACTAACCCAACCAATCTCACAATCACATGTCTGTTACTGCCCGAGTTATAATTAATTTTTCATCGCATAGATTTTCCAACCGGTCGATAATTCTATGCCGACTTCACTGTGGAAACACAACTAACTGCTTTCAATCGACGGTAATAACCAGTTATTTTGATTTCTACCTGCATACACAATCGACAGTATGCAATGCGAGTGAACGTCCGCCGAATTTCGATTTATTCGGTGGTGTTGTGTGCGCTATGGCTGCGCGACATGTTCGTGCGAGAAGCTCCGCACGCGAACGATCGCTGGCGACTGCAGGACTGTGCAGGACAGCGCGCCGCCGGGAAATTCTCACGGTTGTCGGCTGGCATGCCGAGATGCGCCGACACGCACACCGACTCATCGCGAAGACACATTGTGTGTGTGTGTGTACAGCATACACAATACAACTCGTTTGTTTCTTGAGTTTTACGGTGTCCGCGTATTGTATGCGAGCGCCATTGCTGTCAAAAATAATGTGTCAAAACTTTCAAACGAAGCTCGCGGACGAAAAGTTTTCGTAATGTCCTCGAGTTTTAATGAATTAATGAGTTAATTTACTTGCACCGACAGCATTGTGCCATTAAACCAGAGAATTTATCGCTAAACAAGCGAATGCAGAGAAGAGCTGAGCGAAAAGCATGTTTTATGCATTATTTCCTAAATTTAACATACGGCGTGCTGTGACGGTGATAAATTTTGATATATTTACATTTCAGCGTTAAATTGGTAAATATGTATTTTTAAAATCTAAATATTTTGTGTAAATAATTTATCTTCTTTATGATTTTAATATAGGCAACCCATTATACAGCAAACAGTGAATATACTAAGGGGGAATATCTGAATGAGTAATAGTTCCGCCTCACATAATTTACACATCTGTCGAATAAAAGTTAAATGCGTTAGCGTGTCAGACATGAGAATTACCTGTTTATCGATTAATAAACAGGTGACACTATACACAATAGGTGAACTAGTAGGTAACGCTTTTTCTCCTTGCACAAACATGTTGTGAATAATGTGAATGTTGTGCAGAGAATAAACGAGGGAATAAGGTCGACTTGTTGCGCTAAAAAATAGTTCAGCTAGCAAAACTGCAAATGTGTTATAATAAACATATTTGTTATTTGTTATAATTGAATTATAACGGGGCGCCAACAGACATGTAGAACGTTTTCGTTTAATAACTTCAATAACAACGAGTATTAATTAATTAATTACTTGAAAACGGAATGTCATAGAATAAAAATTCCAAGTGTATTGTATGCTCAAATAAATAACGCGTTGAAAAAAGTAAAAAAGTATTAGAAATTGTTTTAAATAAACAAGATAATAATAATAAACATACTTTTTCAATGATTATTTTGTTTGAGTCATAACTTTGTACTCATTTCATTGATGTCTGTTTTATGATGATTATTCTATTCAGAATTTAATGAAGAAATGATGCTATAATGTTTGTAAACCTACGATCATCAGTGTGTTAATAATTAATAAATAATGCGTATAGGGGAGAGCAGGTAGGATTCGTACAGTAGGAGCATTCGTACAGTCCTTATTCCTACCACTGTAGAATACTTTGACAGGTCTGTGTTTGTGTGCGTGAGACCCACTCGCATTATAGGCAGATATATAGGCTATATAGGGACATTAAACTTATTCGAATATATTATATAGTTTAGTTTTAATATGGCGTCAAGTAAAAAATGTACGAATCCTACCTGCTCTCCCCTACTGACCGAGTATACATTAAAACAGCGAGTTTTAAGTGAACTATAAAACAATAACAATTGTGTTATTAATTAACGTACATACTCTGCATCAAATTTGTAAATATTTTGTTGATAACAAAGTTCATTAACAAATGCAACCACATAAACACAAAATTTTTGTCAATACGAAAATATGAAAAGATTTCGTTAACTATAACAATATTTAATTGTATTTCATTGTATTTCATTTGAATGAGTATTTTGTTGTTCGTCAGACTAAAAATGCGAAATTTCGGAACCTCAAAAATGTTGTCGGAATGTTTTGAGGTCAGTTTATAGGTAAACAGAATTACTCTGGTAAATACGTCTGTAAAAATTTGCTGACTTCTAAATATCAACACATTCCTACTGAAGAACGAAGCCAATTGTGTTCTACTAAAAAGTGTTTAATTAATTTTCACTTTCTTGGGCTTAATATGTGTCGATTCCATCAGTAAGATTCGCCATTTTATTTAAAATTAATGAGAAATGCAAACAATGCACTTTAGCGCCATCTGGATGCAATTATTGAGTTATAACTATGATGGAATGTCATTACCAACTTTCATCCCCCATTTAACAACCTTTAAGTCATAACTTTTGAAATTTTAATAGTTATTCTGCTATTCAGGGCGGAAATGAATCTAACAAACTATAGATGATCAAAATCTACCCAGCCGTTCTTTAGTTATACATGATGTAACTAACACTAAGCAGAAAAAAAGTAACCAATTTTTAACAAGTTTTGCTTTATAAAAAAAAAATTTCAATTTTGTAACAAATAATTTATTCAATTCAATAATCCATGTACTTTTGTCCTTTTTCTACTTAATTTTTTAAATTACTACCTATATTATCTCATTAAATGCAATTACACGTCAATTAATTAATTAATTAGTAAATGCACACCAACTAACCCAGTTTATGTTATCTTGCAACAGTTTTCCTCTGTGTTACAACCATTGCTGACTAGTAATAAAAAAGACAGCGTTTATTTTATGGCGTAATTGATGAGTATGGCAAAATACCAATATAGCAATAACCCGGCGTATGTTAAACATGTTTCTATGTTTTTACTCTTTTATCCACCTACATTTTTAATTTAAATCGATTTTAATAAGCGTAAGTCACACACTCACCAATGCGTAGTGTAATCAGGTCGTATCCACATGTTCCGTGCACGATATCACCCACTGTAATCATACACGAGCGAGCCGAGAAAACTTGTAGAGTTGTAACGTGTACTCGGCAACACGCACTATTTCGCACTGGCACGAAACCGGACGAAGCGGACTTCTCGAACGTGGACTACTATTCCATTGACTGCCACTACCGGACCCCACAGAAGAATCTATCGCACAACACACCAAATATCCCACTACATCATTTATATTACTAGCAATGTAGTTTATTGGACACTGATTGGATGTTTACAGAAAAAAACAAATGCCAATCAAGTTGTTGATTATACTTCGATATTCACATGTTTTCTGACTTGTTTCGCCAAGAAAAAAAAACACCGCGCACGTTTGCTGCAATGACGTTAGTGCGATTGGAATTTTAATGAATTTTCACTTTTATAACACATGTACCGTTAAACGCGCGTCTAATTTTATTTCCGCTGATAACACCGAATAAATTCTGAGAATATTGAGACGAAAATGTAATCGACTACTTTTATCGTTTATAAACGCGCACTTAAACAAACGAATAATTTACGGCCGTAACGTGGATTAAAACAATTGACAAACAAGTTAAGCACTGAATTTAAAGCTCATGTTCACATGCTGCCTGCTGTTCAGCTTCAGTGGAGATTTATAAATTACAATCACGGACGTAAGAATGATCAGCAGTTTTAGTTTACCGGTGACGTTGAGGTTTTAAACACACCGGCGCATGTGAATCGTCTGTAATTGTTGATTATATCCACCCACTCACGCACAATTCACGTCGATAACGTTCAATAATCCTCATTTATTAATCACCGCCGCTTAGAATCCATAATTGAGGGTCGCGAGTTGGCGCAGGAAACAAAACACGATCGCGTACACATTAGCTAACCTAACAAACTAGTTATGGGGTTATGCAGCCAAATCAACTCCATCGAAATTATCAGCAGGTAATAAGAAATTAATTAATTATTAATAACAAATATTCTCTATATTATTGCTTGTAGGTTGATATTCCAATAAAAATGGAGAAGATTTATCCATCTGTTGATGAACTATCAACAATTGAATCATCAATCAGATGTACAGAAGTAAATTGCACAGCAATTTTCAAGTCTAGGTCAAATTTAAATCTACATCTTGCCAGACATCATAAGAGTCTAAACTCAGAAAAAATGCTTTTAAAAAGTAACACACAAAGAAGCTATCATTGTCCATCAAATGTGTGCATTTATCACTCTGAAAAGTGTTTCAAATCAATGAAATACCTAAAACAACACTATATAAAAGTCCACTCAGTGAAAAACCACAAATGCACAAAATGTCACTCAGGTTTTGCTACAGAACATCTGAAAAACTTACATGTTGAATATTGTGGTATAAATTTCAAATGTCCTGAATGTCCAGCTGAATATGCATGCTATGACACACTGACAACACATGCAAGAAGAAAAGGGCATAAAATCTTTGCCAAAATAAAATATAAAGCATTATTTCATGGTGATACAACTGCATGCTCAAGAATAATGTGTGTAGTTGATTCAAAACCTGCAAAAAGATTGATATTACCCAAAGATTTTCTTCAAATCAATGCAGAAGAGAATAAAACAATGGAAGATACAAAAATCAAGAGAAAACGTCGAAATAAAACAGAAATGCAAACACAAACGCATAAAATACAAGCGGTAACATCATCAGCCGGTACACAAACGGAACTTGTTTCCATTCATGCTTCAACCGCGGTGGAAAATATTAGAATGTCAAAGAAAAGCATCAAAACACAAACAACTACAGTTACATCAAGCACACGCGCATGCAATACATCTTTCGATGTAAATTTACTCGATATCAATGATGATGTGCAGAGGAATTCATTAGGCACACAAACATTGAGTCCGAATATCCTATCTCAATCAATAACAATTTCTAATCACCGTAATATTACACCCATTCAAATTCCAACGCACGTTGATCAAGGTATAGGAACCGAAGATCTGCTTCAATCGTACATTAATGACTGCAATGCAGACATGGAAACGCAAACGGACTGGTTTACAAACTTAGATCTGCTCACAAATGATGTGCATTCAAATAACTACACACAAACATGTGACGATATCTTACCGCCTGATTTACGCTTCAATAATACGCATACACAGACTGTTCTTAATGATATTTTGCGTTCTGTTGGTAGCCAAACAAGTATGCGTGTTAACGGAGGCGTTTTTACCAATAATGAAACACAAACTGATTCAATCTATGAGGAATTACTGCAGGAAATCAACTCTTGATTGTAGGAGTGCATTTCTGTTGCGATTACATTTACAATTGAATTTTTAATAGTTTTCCGTTAATCATTAAATATTAAATCATATCACATTGAATTCATTGTATGTAATATTTGTGTTTAGTCATAGTGTGATGCTGACAGCATTTTTCTTCCTTTTCTTTAGTGTTACATGAATATTTGAATATTGTAAATACTGTACGTAATGAAACATCACTTATGCACCACTTACTAATATGTATGTACTGTAATTCTGTATGAGAAGTGAGAACAAAGTCAATAAATACGTTGTTAAAAAAGTTAGTAAAAAGTTATTACGCGAGTTGCACTTGTGATTATGATTAGCTTAAATGCCGCACACCGCTGTAGGCTCTGAGTGTGTACGCAAAATATTGTTGGCTTACAATCCATATAAAAAACTATCGTAATTCTCTAGCAATACCTAATCGAAAAATATTATTTACACGTATAACAGTTTTTATCGTTTTTCTTCTTTTTCTGGCGGGGTGAGTGTTTATAGCGCTGGGCCGGCGTCGGCGTCGTCATCGTCGTCGTCAGCATCATCGTCCGATATGTACGAAGTTTGTTCTGCTTCGTAACGCGAGAGGTTTTCGACGCGTGATGCTAATAAACGAAGATTTTCAACGCCGCTCAACAACTGTCTGTAATGTAAAACAATTGTTATGTTGGTTGCCTATATTGGAAAAACAAACTAACCAAAACATACAACAAACCGTAAACATTTTTAGATTTTTTTAGATATAACGTTATGGATTAGATAAAATTTAATTTAATTTAAGTACCTGAGAGAGTGTTCAGCAGTAGATGCAGCCGATCGTAAGTCTTGAGCCACATGACGTTGCGCCATTGGGTCAATTCGACTTGTTGAAGCACAGGGACCGCCTGCAGCGCCCTCTTCGCTTTTCAGCGCCATGTTTTCGCGTTTTAATCTACTCACTTCTTTCTAAAAAATTACCAAACGTAGTAAAGACTAAGTAAAACTACATAAAGTGGAAAACTTACGTTTAATAGTTTAACTTCCTGGCGCAATTTCATAATGTTATTTTCGGACGAAGTTGCTCTTATCTAAAATACAAAAAATTTACATTATTCATACACAAAAAGTTTAAAAACTTCACTTACTTTACTGCGTTCAAGATTCTCTTCAACTTGTTCCCACGCCTTTGCTAAATTCTGCGTGTATTCGTGATTCTTACTCCGTGCCAAATCTAATTCCTGTGCTAAACAATCAGCCAACCTGGTTTTCTCAGCTAACTGCCTTCTGGTTCCATCCAATTCCACTCTTAACCTATCTGCTTCCCATTCTGCACTACTACCCTCATTATCAACCACTGCAACATTTCCTCCACCAGGAGCAGTGTCTGCCAAGAAATCCGGCAGACTTTTTGAATTCCCCACCTCAGGTGCAATCACCTGAGGGCTATTTCTTACTGTAGGTCTATTCTGTGCTTCACCACTTAATGGCAAATCCAAAGGGAACTCTGCCTGTGGCCTGTAGGACACCCTCTCATTTCTGTCTCTTTCACTTCTATCCATGGTGCAGTCAGGCAGGTTGTCATGATTGTTTAAGTAACACTGTTCAATGACTAGATGATCCTGGACGAAATCCGGCAGCGCTGATGGATACTCATTTACCAAACGTGAAGACATGTGCTGGTCGGATATTTCGACATCCGACGGCGGCGGTATACTCACTGGTCTACCCTCACAGAATACTTTTGGCCTAGCACCTTGATTGTGATAGCTTCTGTCTGCTGTATTGATGAAGTGACGAAACGAGAAGGGGTTGTCTTCCTTGCGGACGTTTTGATCATGCATGGCTGTGAATTGTTTATAATTAGGACAAGTTAGAATAAAAACAATTGAGTGTTTACCTGGTTGTTGGGGATTCAAGTCGGGTTGAGCGCGCTTCGAAGGTCTGTCATTCTGCGAGCTGACCAAGTCCAAGTCGATCGTTTCGATGTCAGAGGATGAGTCGTCGCTGGCTGGCGTTCCGACAGTTCGCTTCGGTTGGTTATCGTCGCCATCAGCCATAGTTGGTTTTTAAAAAGCGAGTTACAGCCGCATCATTCGCATCTTTTCCGCATCGCATTTGGTTGGATTGCTTGTCATAGGTTAGGAACTCTTTTGACAACAACTGACAGCGATTGGAAAATAAACACAACCGACTTTTGCCAGCGGATAGGCAACCTTCGATACAAATTAATTTTGCGGTTGGTTTTCCAAAGTAAATATTAAAATAATGTAATGTTATATTTTAAAAAAAGTTAGATTTATTAAATAATTCAATAATTTTGATATAATTAGTTTATATCAAATTAATATTATATGCGTTTTCTTAATATATATTTCCTCAGTTCGGCTAACTGCAGTTGGCAGCACTGAACAACCATGTCACTCATTTTATCACAATAATCTTGCAATGGCCGCCAAGGTCGCCGACGCCGCAGACAAACAATCGCCATTTTTAACAACAGTCCACATTTTCCCCTTGACCGAAATGCGTCGATAAGGGGCTGTTTTCCACCCACAACACATATTAAATCTAGTGCATCTTGTGTATGTGATGTTTGATTGACTAATAGACGCGTAAACGCAAGCGTTCGTTCAAAATGACGCAATTCTTGCCGCATAATTTGTTGGCGTTATTTGCCCCACGCGACCCTATTCCATTTCTACCACCTGCGAGCAAGTTACCCCACGAGAAGAAAAATCGTGGATATGGTGGCGTCGGTGATTTTTTAGACCAATTTGAAGTAAGCACAAAATTTTAAATAAATTTTTTTCTATAATTTACCAATTTTTTTTTATAATTATAGGATCCAAAAGATACTCCACCACCTACAAGAGTTGAAACAAGAGAAGAACGCGTCGAGCGACGCAGAAGAGAACGTGCCGAGCAAGTTGCTTACAAGTTGGAACAGGAGATAGCAGTTTGGGATCCTACTGGGGCTACAAATGTCACTTCAGATCCATTCAAAACCTTATTTGTTGCAAGAATTGTAATTATACAAATTTTAGTCATTTTTTCTTTACTAATATTGTTTTTACACTTAGAATTATGATACATCTGAATCAAAACTGAGGAGAGAGTTTGAAGGCTATGGACCAATCAAAAAGATCCTCCTCATCCACAACACCGTCAATGGCAAACCGCGAGGATACGCGTTCATTGAATATGAACACGAGCGCGACATGCACTGTGAGTACCCAATCTGCACACCGTTCCGACATACTCAGTAGAAAAGCATCTTAAACTGCCGGCGTCGGGCGCCGCTATTTAAGGTACTTTTGCGCGACGGTGTGTGGAGCAGCGAGCGAGCCACGTAGCCAGCAATCTCCGCGAGCGTAAACCAATCAACATGCCTAAATATATACATACATAACGACGTTCGCAATGCTGCACATGAGAAGAATTAATACGTAGTTTTCTATTTTTTATACAGTCCGAGCTGCAGGCAACTAGTGCCGTTTGTCCTCATACTTCCGCTTTTTGCTGGCTATATAGGTTTGTATGTGTGGTAAGAGAAACCCTACATACAAATACGTTCTTTTATATGATGCATATTTTACTTTTGTCTGTTGGGGTTTTGTTTTCAAATACGCATTTAGTCGATTCGCGGCGTGTGATAGTTATATTCACTCTTAGCCTTCTTCTTTGAATCAATAATGTTTTGTTGCTTTTTGAACCAACAATCGAAGCGAAATTAATTCTAAACTAAAAACACCGTCTAGTAACCTAGTTGTTAATTTATATGAGGTGTCTGCGCGTTGTAAGTAATTGCGCACCAGGTAAACTAGAACTTAAAACGTGAGGATTCTTGGATATCGCGACAATAAGTAAATTTTCCGTTCACTTACGTAAGTAACTGGGTAGGTATACTTGAATAATACCTAGTTATCTTTATCTTATCTGGTAATATCTCCGACTGGTCACCCGGACAAAAAAAAGACAGCCTATGTATGTCAAAGCAGCGAAAGTGGACATTTTCAATTCTGTCTCGTTTTGAATGAACAAATAACAAACAAAGTAAGAAACAATAAAAGAGAGTACAAACGGGATGTGTAAGTCGAACGAGTCGAACATGGTAGAAACAGGACATTATCTTTTGATGTAATTGCGCGTGCCGTGAACTGGTGTGCTTAAATAGTGTGTGTTTCCATTGCAGCTGCGTACAAACATGCGGATGGTAAGAAAATTGACGGGCGGCGAGTACTCGTTGATGTTGAGCGGGCTCGCACAGTCAAGGGATGGCTTCCAAGGCGTTTAGGTAAGAATCAACAATCAAAATTTTAAAATTTAAATTAATTAAACCATAAAATTCCAGGTGGTGGTTTGGGTGGTACGAGACGTGGTGGTCCCGACGTGAACATTAAACATTCTGGCCGCGAAGATAACGAACGCGAGCGTGAGCGTTATCGCCTGGAACGGGAGCGCGAGGAACGCGGTGGAGGCGGCGGCGGCGGCGGTGGTGGTGGTGGTGGCCGTGAACGCGATCGCGAACGTGGGGGAGGTTATGGTAATGCCGGCGGTGGCGGAGGAGGAGGCGGTGCGGGCGCAGGTGGTGGCGGCGGTGGTAATTTCGATCGGCGCCGGTCACGATCCCGCGAACGCAGGAAACGTTCACGGTCCAGATCGCCACGGCGTGAGAAACGCCGCCGAAGCCGCGAGCGACGCGCTGCTGAACCGGATGTCGAGGATGTTGATAGACGGTCAAGGGATAGGGATAGAGATCGGTAAGTTGGTCCCAATCTATGCTAAACTATGTAATTTGATGAATGTATATTTTTATTATTTGCAGTGATCGTGATAGGGAACGTAAACGCAGAAGGTCAAAGTCTCGCGATCGGGACCGTGACAGGGAGCGTAAACGCGAACGCCGGGAGCGGCGCGAGCGTGAGCGTGGTGAACGCGGCGAGCGGTTAGAATATATTAAGACAGACGAGGGTGGTGAAATCCGCGTCAAGGAGGAACCCGTCGACGGTAAGACAATTTTTTCAACAACGTTTTTATCTTCATGCAACAAAGTTTCAAGAGTTTTTATACTAAAACTCGCATTTTGTTGCGATTTCATTTGTTTCAAACATGAAACTCGTTGCTAGATTGATTAATAGAAATGGCAACAGGGCCGCCAGACTTAAAGTTTTGCCTGGACGGTAGTAAACGCCTTTTACATTACTTTACACATCAAAATTACACATTTCCTAATCAACATAAACCAAATTTAGTTTAATAATAATTTTAATAATTTTGTTAACAGATTATCCAGACTATCAACAATATCAACAACAATACGAGTCGAATGTTAAATATGAAGACGAGGATGAGCGTAAGTACGACCCGGACACAGCGAACGGAAGCAGCACGCGACGTTTCGCCGCCGAGGATGACGAATACGAGGAGGGAGAGGCTTACTAAGCGACAAAAAAAACCTAGATTTACGTTAAGTTGCCACTGTAGCGCGTCGACTAGCGATTAGATAAAGTAATTATGATATGGTAAAGCATGCGTGCGAAGCTCGTGCGCAAAAAGCATCGCAAATCACGACGACACTCCCGACGCTTTCTCCACACGCATTTTGCATTTGAATATTCCGTATCACAACGCTCTCGAAATCGTCGAGTCACTTATTCGCGTTGAGTCCAAAGGCGCGGGAGTGTCGTGGGGTAATCTTACGTTGCACAAAACACTGAATGACGTGATGGTTATTTTATTTGATTTATTTCAAGTGTGTGTGGAGAGTGTATAACTGTGTAACAAACAAGTTTCTGTTTATCTAGCATATATAACGTGACCTTAAATTTTAAGTTTGGTTCAGACTCGTGTAGGAAATAAAGTGCACTCGATTTTCGATCCTGAACGAACGCGTTTGCTCTTGGTTGTGCGATGTGCATCCTATTTGTTTACACCGATCCCGATCCTGCCCAAGATGGTTACCGACTCATCGTTGCGTCGAACCGCGATGAGTATTATGTCCGACCGGCGAAGAAAGCGTTTAAATGCGAGACGACAGGCGTGATTGCTGGTAAATTAAACTTGTATTTTCGAGGAAATTGCAAGAGTTACAACGGATAACATTTTAGGAAGAGATATGGAAGTTGGGCGAGAAGGCGGTAGCTGGCTTGGCATGTCAACTTATCCCACAGATGCCTATAAATATCGATTCGGTGCGCTGTTGAACGTTACGGGGGAATCGAAAGAATCGCACAAAGGACGCGGATTTATTGTCATTGATTACCTGGAGGGAACAATGCCCATCGAGGATTATCAGCAGTATTTGCACAAGGATGATGTAGATTATCACAGTTATAATTTTGTTAGCATCGATTTGGGGTATTGCATGCATACAGGATGTTTGTAAATTAGTTTAATGCGTGAATTTCAGTAAAGAAATCACAATTCGTCATACGACTAACGCGGAGAATGAAATCGATTCGTCATTTGATGGAACAGGAAAACAAGTGCTTGCTTTCGGTAATAGCACCGTAACGACGCCATTACAAAAAGTTTTAGCTGGTAGAACGCAATTCGAAAGCATTGTGAACAAATTAAATAGTAAAAAGCTTAGTGGACAACTCACATATCAACTTATAGAGTTACTAAAGTTAACTGAAAGGTATTTAAATGTTTTCTGTTTATAATAGTAATATTATATTGTTAGTATTTGATTAGACATCTACCAGATCCAGAATTACAAAGGAGAGCACCGAAATCCTACAAAGAACTGTCATCTATTTACGTAGAAATGGTTCAACCCGGCTATGGTACCAGGTAATACTAAATCAACAAATTTAAATAATAAACTAATTTAAATATAATTGTTTGAAAGAACGCACACGGTAATATTGGTAGATCATGACTGGAATTTGCAATTTAAAGAAGTCACGATGAAGGAACCAATCAACGCGGAGCAACCGGAATGGGAAGATACTAACATAACTGATTAAGTAAATTAATATTCTAGTCATCTTATTTTAACTTAAACACTATAGCATAAGAAAAGACATGAGTTTATGTACCTTCTATACTTTAATGTAATATTATATACGTACTGCTCTAAGCGCTATTATTTGTTCAAATTTAGACAAAGTATCGTTATCGTTTCAAGTGTACCTACATTTATGACGTCGCCGGTGCGAAGGTTAATGTTCAATTGTGCGCACCTGACCTTTCACGAGTGTAGTTATTTCTTTATAAAGTCTTATCAAGGCAGTGACAGTCTACACCTTATCGTTATAATGTTGTTGATATTATTGAATTTTAAATCTATAAATGTATCAATTGTATACATTCAATATTTATTTGCATTACAATATTCTTATACATTAGCTCAGTCTAATTTGGTCTTGGCCATTACAGTTACATAATAAACAATACAAATAGGTAGAAACATATTAGTTAGTTTGACGTGCATTTTTGGTGAGCGTTTAGTCTTGGTTAGTATTAATTTGTCGAAATAATTGATCGTAGGTGAAAAATAAGGGTTTTAGCATGAAATATTGAAGTGTGGGCTGAGATATTCGTTAATTAGTCGAGAACACAATGAGATTCGTATATTTAGGGACTCTTTTCCACTTTGTGCGCAATATTGTAAGATTATAAGATTTTTGCGGATCGAGAGCAGGTATAACTAGGCAACACGCAGTGCGTTAAACGCTTAGTCGTACCGTTCGCAGTTTTCTCCTCTTTTTCGCTGACATTTAATCAAAAACCCTTATTATTCACGTGTATAAACACTTCAACATAATTTGTTTTAAAAAGTTACAATTACGAGATTCTTAAAATATACCACGTGATTTGACATGCAGATTATTACTTATGTTATTATTACTGTTAGTTTACCAACTCCTATTTCCCCGCTTATTTCAAATCATAACAGAAATGATAATGCGGTGGATCGGGCGGAATTGGTGGCGGATCCTGCGGAATAGTAACACCTTCCGCGTCCAACAATCTCAATTTAATCTCCATGGACAAAAGGATGTCCAGATCTTTCTCGGCCTCTTTACTCTGCATCCGCTGCCCCAGCAATGAATTAATCCCATCCGTCCAATACGCAAAGATTAACTCATCCGCTGCGATACAGTCCAACGACTGCAGATCGACGCCTTCCAGCGCCAACGAGAACGCCAGCTGATGCGCTGCTTTCCTCCCCCGCATATTCGGGCAGTCTTTACCTACAAGCAACGCACGAATATCCGAAACCGCCAGTTTCGATGTAAGTTCTTCGGTTGAAGGCGCACTTTTTTCGTCGCAATCACCATAATGGAGGACTTTTTGATTAGGCGACAGTCGCATGTACCAATACTTATCTTTAATACGTTGTCCACGCGCGGAATACTTAGTGAAACGTGTTCCTTCGATCAGGAACGAGATGCGTTGTTGGTGGATGAGATTCAAAATGTCCGGCGTGATTTGTTCTTTGAGTTCAACAATGGGAGTAGCATGTGATTCCCACTTTTCTCTTGAAGTGCGTTCCTGCTGCCACAAGGCAGTAATCTCGCTATATGTCAATGACAACAAACGTGTTTTAAGTTGTTCTAGAGACACAGGCGATGTCTGCAGGGCTCTGATGATCTGTTCTCGAACAACCGAAGCAACTTTCCCAAAATCCTCCGAAGTAGCGCGCATTTCTTTCCATGTTTTATTTAACAAAACAATACAAATGCAAAATGTTTCTTCAAATGGATAATCATGCGTGAAGAATAAAGCTTGATAAGCTCCGCCTTGTTCCGAAGGAGATTCACCGATTTTCAACAACTCGCATAAAATACGCACAAGTTCAACGCTTGCGCGTCCGAAAGGACATTCATGTTCATCTGCTCGGCAGCTGTTTTCTAATACAAGTTTAGTGTAGTTGTCAGGATGATTACGAGCAAAATAAACCATACAATCAAGTGCTAATAACCCAGGTGGGGTTTCAGTGAAATCCAGAGCTGGATTTATATCATTACGAAAACCAAGCTTTTTGTAATCACGTGTAAAACCAACAGGACCTCGAATACTCCCAGCACCTTCTCCGTCGAAGGCTATGCGTCGCAGTTCTTTAATTTTATCGTGACCATCTTGATCCTAAGGACAATTAAATATTATGTACAGCACAACTACCAGAATTTATTTGTTAGTAAAAATAAAAAAGATCTAAACATATACATGCTTAATAAAATAATCTGCACTAACCTGTGGATCCATTTTGGTCTTCATCCTCTGCTCCAACAAGCCAAGAATCAAAGTTTGCAGCACATACAACTGATGCGCCATTTCTGCACCTTCCACTGCTCCGGTTTGAAGAATATTCTGCTGGATAACTTGTCTCAACTGTTTGGAAGCCAATGTAGCAGCAATGGATCTCCTCTTGGTGAAATCTGCTTTAATCAACAAGGCATTAATCAAAGCAACTGTATTCTGTTGAACTACAGAAGACTCCTGAAGGTGGGTGATTAAAGAACTGACTGGAACTTCTTTCTCAACCTGTTCATACCCTTGACTACTATTCAAAACAATATTTTCCAATATTGATAGTGCTGCCTGACCAATGTCCTTCTCCTGTGAAGTGTTCACATACCCAGCAATTCTACTAATGAACTGCCCATCAAGAATGTCCCAAGATACACTTCCATGCTCCATTAATTCAACAAATGATAGCAGTGAGTAAGCAAGAAGAGCACCTTTTGATTTACCACCTTCTATGTGTTTGATAATCAAAGTTAAACCCTGCTTGCTGATGAATTCTAAAGCAAAAGTAATATCAGCACTTAACTTGGACAGTTTTTGTACAGCTGCAGTTTTTTCCTCCACTGATCCAGCATTCAGTTTATGCAGGATATCTTGGGCAGTCTTAGATGGTGAGTATTCTAGGCGTATGACGGATCCGTTCTTAATCTCATTGCGATTCTTCTCGGTGATGTAGTTCTTGTTGTTGGTATCGTTGAATTGCAGTGCGTATTGGTCGGGCTCGGAGAGATTCCAAACGTTGCACAATTCTTGGATGATGCATGTAAGCGGTTGCTTTTGATTGAATTCGGTGAGATGCGGGACCATGTCGGTCATCTCGATCGCAATCTTCACGATGTTGGCGTCTTTTATTACAGGCATGATGAGATTTTGTAAAAGAACTTTTCGTATGATGAAGATTCTTCATTCGAGTGTTTTGTTGTGTTGATTGCGGTGCAGTTAACGCATGACTAGTTGTTGGGAACGTATTACATTTTATTGCACTATCACTATGCTTCGGTATTGCTACACGTTCATTGTTTCAATATTAATCAATTAAACGCGATGACAAACCCTATAGTAAGAGGAGTCCGGCGGATGTACTCATCTTGATCATTATGCTTGACATGTCACGACTGGAATGCAGCAATTGCTATTGGGATAGGCAACCAGTTGTACATGTTAAACTTGCATGAACTGTTGCTGCATGCTATGTGTTCATGTTTTAATTTATTTATTTGGACCATTTAAAGGTGCAATGCGTTAATAATTTTTATTGTAAAAAAATTTTATTTAATTTTTGAAATATTGTATTGCTGCAGAGCAAGTTTATATAACTTTTTACGAAGCAAATCAAATATTTATTATGCGATTTGTATATTTGAGATAGGCAACCATTTCTACACATTATGCAAAATATGAACAAATTGGTTTTTCTGTTTTCAACATTCTACACACTTAACGAAAAAAAGCCCCCAATCAATACAAATGTCTGCTATAAATTGCAATCTTATCTTATCTGAAGTTGAGTAAGTTATTTCCACATACATTCAGCGCACCGCGCAACAAACTTTGGGCAAATATTTGCATTTAAAACAATAGTTGCATTTGTTGCGTTGTATATTTGCTTGCAGTATTTTTACGCCACTGCCACCTTGACGATTTCAATCAGACAGCAGCGATAATAAATTCGAAATTCTACGTTGGCGCGTACCGCGCGTCTCGTTGGGACAATGCGTGTCGCAGCCGCAGGAGCCGCAGGAGTCGCAGTGCGTTGACGCACTTTGACGTGCTATCTGTGTACGATTGTGCGATCGACTTCGCCTTCTAGGCCACAACTCGCGACAGTCGCGAGAGGCGCACCACGGATCGCGGCATCTGGTCGAAGCGCGCGCTCTCGCCGCCCGCGATACTCGCGTTCTTCTCCGCTGGGCGCGTTCGGGTGCAGTTAATGCAGGTATCGCAGCAGGCTGACAGGAGGTGCGCCAGTCAAACAGCTGACACAAAATTATAGTGGTCCACAGCTGCATCCAGCTGAATCGGATGTGAACAGAATGTCCGGCATGTCTCCGTCAGAGGTAAATCCCAAACACACCACAAACGCAAACATCTCTAACCTTGCGCGTTCCTTTGTTTTCGCCTCGAACTTCTCGACGAGTTATACGCACATGCCAATTCACCAGCATTCAACAACATGTTTACCAATTCGTCTAGCGACTCTAACGTGTTTATAATCATCACATTAACCACAATTCAATCTCGCTTTTGCATTAGTTCAATAAATTAGTATAAATTAGTAAGGCTTGGGAGAACCAAGGCCAGCAGTCTGGTTGTCCAGTCTCTAACTTTTACTTCTTCGCCCTCAGAAACGGCTCCAGAAAGAGCTTATGTCACTGCTGAAGGAGCCGCCACCTGGAGTGCTTGTTGACTACGAGCTCGCCGAGCAGAACTTGCTGCAGTGGACAATCCGCATGGAGGGTGTGCCGGGCACGCTCTACGAGGGCGAGTGCTTCCAGCTGCAGTTCAAGTTCACCAATAAGTATCCGTTCGATTCGCCTGAAGTCATCTTCGTCGGCGCCAATATTCCCGTGCATCCACACGTCTACAGCAACGGCCACATTTGCTTATCAATCCTCACAGACGACTGGTCACCGGCGTTATCGGTGCAGTCCGTCTGTTTGTCAATTGTATCTATGCTCAGTAGTTGTAAAGAAAAGGTAAATTAGTTTTTTGGTGATTTCAATGTAGAAATGTTGTTATTTACTTAATATTTTTGCAGAAACGACCGCCTGATAACGCTTTTTATGTGAAAACCTGCAATAAGAATCCAAAGAAGACTAAGTGGTGGTATCATGGTAATATTTTCACTTAATATTTAATTTTTTTTAAGTAAATGATGAGAACTTTATAAATATTAGTGTTGAGTGTGTTTTTTTCATGTGCTAGAAGTTTTATGTTGATAACTTTCTATTCATTGGTAGAATTTTAAATTCTTTATATGCCTCTTTGTCAATATTGACAATTATGACATATTTTGTGATAATTGGTCCAATGGTCAGTATGACACACACTCAACAAATGTTTTCTTGAATCATTTAAGTTCTTTTTAAGGTTAACTGGATGCCTGTATAACTAATTGTTTCTGATTTGTCTGTTTCAGATGATTCCGTATAATATTTACTTAATATCAATTGTGATGAAATTATTTATAGACACACAGAAGAACTTCTTATCTCTATTGTTTTCTAATGTGTTTCAAAAACGATTCGACGAAATGCAAACAGTTGCATCGCTGTTATCGCAAGTTTATTTAAATAACTTATTAGCGATTTAGTTTCTATCATGATGCATAAATCTATGATTAAATTTTAAGCTATCACTTAATGTTGTTAAAGGATGTTAGATCGCGTTTGCTTCCGCTCAAGCAGCGCGAAGTGTTTCCGTTGCATTACCACGATTACTCCGATAGCATGATAATCGACGAATGGAGTGCTTTCCGGATGGATTTCCTACCTACACACGACGATTCTACGTATTCGTAGAAGTTGAGTTTCACGTTTCGACGCTTTATGAAAAATTATTGACGACGTAATAAGTACATTATTGAACAATGCAAGACGCCACACGTTGTTATTTCCTAAACAGTTAGTATATAATGACGAAATAAATAAATTGTTCCTGTTGGATAAACACGCAAGATGCAAACTATTTTATTACCCAACCCTGCACCTAACAATTCCTGTCTCCTGTATGAGGTCCTTGGGGCTTTGATCAAGGAGTTAAAGTATTCTTGCGGAAATCCTATCTACTTGTATGACTTGCCGTATAATTTTTCTTAAAATTTTACAAGACAAAACTTTCTATCTCCTTAAATGCCTATCAGAGAACACATTTTGGCTGAAAAGCAGCGTTGAATTTTTTGGTTCAAATTAATATTGACTGAAAAACAGAGCAGAACTATAATTTAAAATTTATTCCGGTTGAAATGAATTTAAATTACTTACGAATTATTTACGAATATTTCAAAACTAAAAGGACTAGAAAGAAAAGGACTTCAGATCCTTGATTCTTGAAGGATTCTCAACGCTAAAATTTGATCCACTCGAAAATCAAAGTACAAAGTGGTAAGTACTTTTTCAAACTATAAAGGGTGATTATTATCGAAACCATCGGTTTAATAACAAAATGTTACTAAGATAATGTATTCAAAATCACGTGTTCTTTAATATTCCGCAACAAAAAAGTCAACTTTCAAATTTTAATTTTTTGCATAAGGAATGGTGGAGAAAATGAATAATCCAGTTTATTGCAATTTTCTTGTAAACGAATAAAGTTAAAAGAAAATGGTTTTCAGATTCGTATTCAGTGCATAATTTGAAACTATTTAAAATTTTAAAATGTTTAATTATCCACACTTATGCAATATATGAAAATGGTCGATAACTTAAAAACTAATTATGTCAGCAAATCCAAACCTTAATAAATGGTTTCCTTGCATCATTCTACACCTAGTTACACAGTTTCATGAAAATCAGAGAAGTGGTTCATTTTGTCGTGTTTCGATTTCCATCAAGTTTTTCCAAAATATTGATGTTATCAAGAAACTAAATAGAGATTGTTCATCGCATGGGAATTCTCTACCGATTGGCGTTTTCCATTTTGCTTTAGCATAAAAAGCAATTTTTGACCCCTAAAATAGTTAAGTGTAACCTCTTGATGAATTTTGAGTGGCTTTTGGTCAACATCTGAAAATCAAAAAACTAAATCTGCCATCTTATAGAATTGAGTTATGACATGAAGAAAATGAAAGAAATAACTCTTTAACTCTATTACTTTCCGAGAAAATCGCGTCGGAAAAGTGTTTTCCACTACCTTAAAAATAAAATTTTTAAATTCTTATCTTGTGTAGAATTATTTGCAGAACCCAACACCGTTCCCGGTTTTTGTTTATCTTTATTAGTTTCTGAGATACTCAGTAATTAAGTATAGCTCTTTGTACACTTTGTACTTAAAAATGTCTCCTGAGTAAACTATCAGAGGTATTAAGTAAAAAGTTGTGTTAATTGGATAATGAAAAACTTTTGCACAGAATGGCAGCATTTGTTTTTAATAATTAGTACAACCACTTACAAAATTGCCAGGCGCCTCCGACAAATGTTTATTATTTATTTACACCGGGTTTCATATACTATTATTCTCGAAAACTAAAAGAGAAAAACAAAAATTAACAACAGATACTTCATTCTTAAAGCTTTTTCTTTAAAACAATAAATTTTATTTTTACAAATAACGAAAAAGTTTTCACTTCTATTTGCTTTGATTGTTCAATAAAAGATTTAAAGTTAAAGGATAAAACCTCTGAATTGCTTTTTCATTCAACTAATTTAGTTTGTAAGAAATTACTGACTTTGAACAAAGAATTCATTTTTAAAGGAAAGAGAGAGCGCGCAAAACAACAGAGCAAGGCCTGCTTGATCAGCTGATATTCGTTGGTTCGCGCGTTTTTATTTTGGGCTAAAAAGATGTTGTCAAAACAAGATGAAATTAAACCAATTAATAATGAAACAGTACACAGAATATGTTCCGGCCAGGTAAACAACTATTTTCATGTTTTTTTTTGTTGGTTACTTTATAAACAAGAGTAGATTTTCAATTTATTTATTATTTTACATGTAATAAAATAGTGCTTATATGGCATATGCGTTTTTACTTTTTACTATTACATAAAAACCAACAAATATAATATCTAAGATAAAACTATATTAATAAAGTAATATTATTAACTTTAACATTATCCCCAAATTAGATGGAAGCAATTTATGTTGAACTATTTTTTATATGTTAACAGGTTGTTTTAAGTCTTGCAATTGCTGTTAAAGAACTAGTTGAGAATGCAATTGATGCCGGCGCAACAAATATTGAAATACGGGTGAAAAACTACGGCCAAGATTCCATCGAAGTAATTGACAATGGTTCCGGAGTACAGGAGAAAAATTTCGCTGCTTTAAGTAAGTTCATCAACACATTCAAACACAAAAAAATTAAACCTAATTTATCTGTTCTTACTTTAGCATTAAAACACTACACATCAAAAATTCGTGAATTTAACGACTTAGAAAACGTCGCGACACTTGGATTCCGTGGCGAGGCTCTTAGCTCACTCTGTGCTTTAGCAGATCTCACAATAATAACCAGACATGAATCTTTAGAACATGCTACAAAAATATGCTATGACCACAATGGCCATATTATATCACAATCCATCACAGCCCGTTCAGTTGGTACAACTGTTCAGCTTTCCAATCTATTTGCAAGTCTGCCGGTGCGAAGGAAAGAGTTTACGAAAAACTCAAAGAAAGAGTTCAATAAAATGTGCAGCTTATTGTACGCGTATTGTTTAGTATGCACAAATGTTAAATTTACATGCAGTAATCAAGTGTTGAACAATAAGAACATAATACTTACGACACAGGGAAGCGGCTCAGTCAGTGATAATATCGTAAATATATTTGGCGCAAAGCAAATATCACAATTGCTTCAAGTGCCGCTGGTACAACCAGATGAAACAATCGCGAATGATTTTACAATCAAGAAAGTCCCTGACGAATCACCATTTGTGTTTGATTTTCATATTTCCAGTGTCATGCATGGAAGCGGTCGATCTGCAGCTGATAGACAGTTTTATTATATTAATTCACGGCCGTGTGAGCCACAAAAACTTGCTAAACTTGTCAATGAAACCTACAGAAGCTTTAATAACAATCAGTATCCATTTGTTTATTTAAATGTTAAAGTATTAAGTAGTTTGGTGGATGTTAATGTTACGCCTGATAAGAGACAGATTTTCTTGGAACAGGAAAAAGCTTAATGGCGACTGTTAAAATGAGTCTGCTGGAAGCTTTCAAGAATTTTCCATCAACATATAAAGTCCAGAATCTAAATATTTCTGTTGGAATTACACAAGAGGATAATAAAAGAAAGTATGAAGATGACGATAACAATGATAAGAAAGTCAATGTTAAATCATTCTTGGAGATATTTAAAAAGCAAAAGGTTGCAGGACCGAAAGTAGAGATTATTAAATGTCCTGTTACGCCTAAAAGAGTTCAAAAATGTTTAACAGAGTTTAAAATAGTTAAAAACGTGAAGAATTGCCTGAAAAAGAAATAACTGACACACAAATGGAATTCAATTAATGAAAACAGCAGTGATGGTTCATGAGTTCTTTTGAATACTCACAAGTGAGTCAGCTTCTACCCACCTAAAGAAACAGAAGAAAAACCTGCAAAACCAACAAAAGTTGTCTTTGATTCGCCAATAAAACAACCTGCGCAAGCAGAAGAAAACAATTCTGATGTTTTGAATTTCAATTTGACTCCAATCAAAAGCTGTGGAGGAAAGCGAGCTTGCCAATGATAAACAAAAAGAGTTAATGTTAAATTCCGTGCGGATATTGCACCCGCAAAGCAACAAAGATGCTGAACTTGAGTTACAGAAACACTTTTCTAAAGATATGTTCAAGGAAATGAACATTATCGGACAAATTAATTACGGATTTATAATTGCAGCGTTAAATCAAGATTTGTTTATCATTGATCAACATGTATCCGATGAAAAGTACAACTTGAAACAAGCGTGAAAATACCGTTATTGATAAATATTAGTCAAGTAAGTAATAACTAAAAATTTAAGTCATGTGCTGAACCAATTATTTGCAGCCCAAAAACCATTGCAACTCACTGCTGTGGATGAAATAACTCGCTTACAAATGAAAAAGTATTTAACAAGAATGGCTTTTACTTTGAGCACAACGAAAAACGGTGTCTAACTGAACGTGTTAAAATGACGAAGATTCCCAGTGTCGAAAAGCACGATTTTGGGCAAAGATGACGTCGATGAGATATCGCATATGCTAAAAGTAACATTATTGTTTTTTTTAATGCTTCTAAAAATTATCAAAGCTTTTCTTTTTTCGTTTTATATAGAAGGAGCAGATTTAAATTGTCGTCCTTCGAGAATCAGAGGTATGTTTGCATCGCGCGCGTGCAGAAAATCTGTGATGGTCGTAGCAAAAGCTTTGAATAAAAAGCGATGAAAAACTGGTTGATCACATGGGCGACACATTGAACAGCTGTGAATTAGTTCTCGCATGGCTGACCAACGATGCGGCATTTGATTAATATGAATCTCTTTGGAATAATTCATTTTATTACATATTGACAAATTAAGTGATTACGATTGTTTCTTTTATTCCCTTTTATCTAAATGATTTACGTTGATTACTTTTTTATAATTATATATACTTGTTTACTGATTAATTTTTATCAGATTACTTCAATATTCTTTAGTTTACGTTGCGAAGACTGAAAATGGTTATATTCCACCATAAAAATAAAATTAAATCAATCAACATTTCTGCTCTTATTTTGGTACTCAATAAAATTCTACCAACTTTATCAGTATTTCAGTTTCTTCATTATAAATTCCTTTAAGATCCATAGAAACATGATTGACGAAACATTATTAAACGCTAATTGTTCTGAAATGTTAAAACCACTGTGCGCCGTAATTGATAATCACACACCTGGAAGTTGGTGGATGCCAGTGAAGTTCTCTTTAAATCAGTTTGTCCTGATGAATGAACAATAACTGTGCTTGGTACCCTGAACAACAACAACAACAAAACATGAATCACAAAAACAAATATAAATCAGAGAAAATATTCAAAAATAAATAAAAACACTAACCGGTATTTCCGTGGCAGTCTCATTATCCTTCTCAGCCGATAAATCCCACAATGCGATTTGATGATCCGCACCCGCAGAAGCAAACACCGCACCATCAGTAGGATGCCATTCAACGCTTGTCACCGGCGCTGAATGATGTTTAAAGAATGCAACTGGTGTTTTCTGTTGAAAACGACGCAGATCCCATACTTTTAGCACACCGTCGTCACCACCGCTTACGATGAATGGCTCATGCTTGTTCCAGTGAATGACATTCACATCTGAATCGTGAGCGTTATCTGCGGTCAACATGCATGCTTTCTGAGGGGGCGCTCGTGTATCCCAGATTCGTATCGTCTTATCCACTGAACAAGAAGCCATCACGCATCTTTCATTTGGTGACCATTGAATATCCTCCACGGAATCTTTATGACCGATTAGAGGTCGTTGATCTACTGTCCATGTGCCTTCACCAGGGGTCCAGATATGTATATCTTTTTTACAATCTCCTGTTGCCAACATCTGCAAAATAAGTTTAAATTAAAATTTATGAAGTTTAAAATATTTTTTGACTTACTCCTGATTGTGTTTTTGACCAATCCATAGCAAAACCTTCCTTTTGGTGGCCACTAAATGTAAATACAGCTGTTACACTATTTCCTAAATTCTCTTTATTGTATTTCATTAATAATGCATCATTATTGACAACTTCCAATTGTTGATTTAAATTCCATATACTAATTCTGCCCAGTTCACTCCATGAAGCAGCCAGAACAGTGTTATTATATGTAGTGGCTCTAATTCTATTAACACATCCCTGATGCTTGATCAATGCCCCTGCCATTTTGGGCTTCTTTGCTTCATCTTCTTCCTCTTGCTCTGAATCACTGTCATCCTCATCATCATCATCTTCATTATCATTTTTGCTAGTCCTATGTAGATTACTCAATTTCATAACAATCACACTGTTCATGTGTGCTTGTGATGCCTGTGTTCCAGCCACAACATATGCAGTCATAGGAAATGTCTCTCTATTTTCACCTAAAATTAATTTTAAAAAAATTGCATTACTTCTTTGTAAAATTGGTTTATGTGTTTTTTATTACCTAAATTATCTGCGATGATGTCAAAACTTAAACAGGGTGCACCAGTCTGTGCCTGATGCAACATAACATATGCAGATTGATCACACACCAATTCTTCACCTTCTTCGAGTGGTTTTCCAGGCAAGTATACATCACCATCAGTATTTGTTGCTTTTGTTTCACCATCTTCACCTTCTTCTTCCATATCTTCATTGTCGTCTTCATCATCCTCGTCTTGCTCCATTATGTCTTCAAATTCTTCCTGCATTTCCGACATTATTGTATTGCTAAATTAAATTTAAGGAAACAATTGGAAACTGCTTTTAAACTATTCATGCAGTATGCACGCACGTGTATATTGAGGTTAGAATCTATTTGAAACATTGGCGCGGTTGCCTATAGGATAAAACAAAATTTAAATGAAACATGTAACAATTGATTAAAAAATAGCATAAAAGCGATTCTTTTGGATAATATAAGCCAATAAACACTTACATTTAACACAATTTAATAGCCACACACGATCACACATTATATACCGAAATCAAAGACAAAACAAATGATTCACTGATATTAAAATATACACTTGATATAATCACAAAAAAGTACAAAAAGTTGTTTGTTTATTCATCGTAGCTAACAGCATATAAAATACATATGATATATATACATCCAGGTGGATACAAAAGTATTACAGATACAATATAATTAAGAGCCAGTACAAATCTTATAGCCTCTATAAAATTCATAAATCAAAATAATAAAAATATAAACTAGGACCTATTAACATTGCGGTTCCGTTTCGAACCCGTCTTCACCTCCTTTACCTTCGACGCAAAGCGCAATGAGTTCACCGATTCATTGTAACATTCTTCAAGCGGCGAAATATTCACAAACATAAGCGTTTTCGAATTGCCCCCGAGCGAAGATTGTAACAAATACGTCAACTTAGAATTACGGTAAGGGACATGTTTGTCCTTGTTATGCAACGCAAGCATCACTGTACCCAAAGCGGATAGTGATTTATTAATGTTTTTCGTCTCAGTCATCCGCTCCGAGTTTTTCGCCGACTCCGAGCCAGCCAAATCAACCAAATTGAGCGAACCATTGAAGACGTTATGTTCAAAATACCCACGTACGGAGATTTTCGTCACAGCGTGCGATCGTGAACTGTGCAGATTAAAATTCGTAGCGGCGATCGCCCGATTATTATTCGCTTTTATCATCAACTTCTTGACCATCATGGCGGTGGACACAGTCTCAGTGCATAAATTCGTCACCACCGAACCTTTACCTTCATTGTACATAATTTCGTGCGATTTCTTCGAATCGGGATTGAGTAAATCTTTGATTGTTTCATTATAAATCTCCATGAAACTAACTTGCACCTCATATACCCATCCGAGTTGCTCTAACTCAGCGATTTTGGTAAACAGCAAATCAACGGATCGTGGAATCATTCCTAAATTATCTCCACTACCTAACATTGTATATGTTTTGCCTGATCCTGTTTGCCCATAGGCAAATACGCATACATTGTATCCATCCAGAGTACTCTGCACCAACTGTGATAAATCTTCGAAGACTTCCGCTTGTGAGCTCTCAGCAGCAAACACCCGATCAAATGTAAACTCCAACTTGCTTTCGCCTTTATCGCGTCCCATCACAGACTCACGGGATTTTCTCAGTCCGAGAGTATCGTCATCAATGTAATCCATATTGCATGGCATGCGGTCTTCTTCATCCGGTTTAATTGGCCGCACACGGCAAAACACGCGTATGTTGCCTTTGAGATCCTGTACGTCGTTGTGTAATTGTCGCCTGAGTTCTTCATGTTCACGCAGATTTCGTTTAAGGTCTTCTATTGACTGAAGTGCTTCTTTCAGTTGAGTCTTGTGATGTTCATTCTCACGCTCGGTCGCTTGATATTTATCCTGTATGGAAGCAAAGTCGACTTTTAGTTCAGTTTGTTCAGCTTGCAACTTGTTGAATTTCGTTTGAAGCAAGTCATGCATTGATTGTAGTTCTTGAAGGGCATCTTCAACTGATAATTTTTCAGTTTTCAATTGCTCAAGGTCAGAATTCAATGCATTGTGATTTTTTTGTAATTGCTCAAAGTTTTTAATTGATTTGTCTAACTTTGTTTGTAAATCAAGCCCATGCTTTTGTGATACTTCTAATCTACTCTCAGTTTGCCTCAGAGTGTTGATCAATTCGCCAGTACTTACTTTGTACTGCTTTAATTCTTCAAGGAGTTGTTCCTGCTCCTCACATTTGGTTTTAAAGCTAACATTTTCTGCAAAATAAAAATAATAAATTTTACAGTGAAATATTAAATCTAGTAAAATATATTACCATCTTCTAAAATTTCAAGTCTACTCTTTGCTTCTTTGTGTGTAGTGACAAGCACTTTATGCTTATCCTCCAAGGCAGCAAGCCTTCCTTTGAAATCAAACTTTGAGAGTTTGGGTGCTGATGGCACAGCCTTAGTTGTCTCTGCTGTTGCTGCTGCAGGCCGTTTTACAGCAGTCTTTGACGCCGCTGCCAGAGTCGCTGTTCGAGTTAATCCAGTATTCAAACGTGATGTCACATTTGTTGCAGCAACGCGTCCTGCAAGCGGTTTCTTTGCTAGAGTTGAAGTCAAAGCACTGGATTTTATTTTGTTGTGCATAGAAGCTTTGGCAGTTGATACACCAAACGATTTTGAACGTCGGCCTCTTCGTATGGCATGAGATGATGCAAGCACATTGCTTGTGCTAGAGGAAGAAGCTGCTCCTGGTCCTGGTTTGTTGAACGTTACGGTAGGTATTGTAATGTTTGTCGAGTTCTCTTTGAGCACTGGTAGTTTTTTGGCAGTACTTGTTGCACTTCTTATCATAGGAGGTCTTAGTCTGCTCGCAATATTTGTCTTATTCATTTTAGTTAACTACTATGAATTAAACGCAAGCAAATAAAATGCAATATACGGTGTAAAAGAACCAATTATTTATCTTGTGTTTGGTGCGGACGCTGCGAACGTTCCGTTAAAAATGCCAATTTGAACTGAACTATCGTTCTAACGGTCATTTAGAGATCGTTGAAGTTTGAAAATGGAAATGTCTAGTTTGGCAACACTGTTAAAGCACATGAACGAACTTACGTTACTTTATTTAAAGAATGGTTTTAAATGGTTTAACTTCTTAATTTTATGTTATTACATTATTAGTGACTATTATGTATTGTTTAATTTAAAATATCTATTATTTTATATCAAGTTTGTTGTGTTTTTAAATGATTTTACAAATTCTGTAAATACATGCCGCATAAACGCGTGTTGTGTAAGTTGAGTTGCCTATAACAAAATCATGATTTGGGAAAATATTATTTGCCGCCACAAAAAAATGTTTGCAATGCAATAAAACGCAGCAAGTTCAACAGTAAATTAGTTTTTATTCGATTGTAACAACATTTACATAGTATCGATTCATTTATTTATGTATATGTCATGTAATTGATGCGCTTACAACAATGCCGTTTGTGATCAGCCTCTCTACGCGTTGGTTTTGTGTTCAATTGCATTCAATTCCGAATGTTAATCCCCCCCTTGACCGAATCATACGCTGCAAAACGTCCCCATGGTTAGATATGTATATGGCTAACAAATCAACGTGAATCTTGTTCCTATTTAGTTCTTGAAAGTCGAATATTCACCGCTACTCGTTTTTTATCGCTAGTAACATACAAAAATGTGTGAACGTGAACATGAATCATGACTCATGCCGAGAGAGAGTTTTTTTTTCTTTAGTTATAGAGTTAGAGTTAGAGAGATTCATGAAAACTTTTATGCGGCGTTCCATGAAAAAAACGGCAGTGGATTCTGCGAACTTTGACTCCTTCTCGTTTGCGTCTTTAGGGTGCTGCACAAATCGTCTGCTAGCAGTTAACATTCATTGCGGTGTGAATTCGTGTGTACAGAATAAAATTAATATAACAACGTTCAAGCGTACGCACTTTCCAACAAAACGGAATGTTCAAAGTATGTAATAATAATAGTCACAGAATTAAGTTTGTTTCTCCACATGAAGGCAAACACAACAATGGCAACATACACACTCAAGTAATCAGTTTGCTCAGCCGGATTATTATAATTACATTATTGTGATTTGCATCAACACCAGTGCGCTGCTTGATTCGTGCGAGTTTTATTCTTTATGTTTTATTGTAATTGCAATCGGCAAAACAATTGCAAATTGATTGTTGCGATTTGATTTTCTGTGTCGATCAGAGTAAAAGCAGATTTGTCGATTTTTCCTCACGTCATTCATCTTTTTTTAAATATATTCTAAATATATCTTCATATATTCTGTGTTTGTGTTCTTAATACGTAGTTAAAATCTGTAATTACACATTATACAATTACATTTACATTTATTTATATTATCGTTTTGTAATTTCTTCTTCTTCTGCTTTAAAGTTTGCGAATTGAATTGACTTTCGTGTGTGTGTATCATTCTGTTTCGTGTGTTCGAACAAAAGGAAATCAACGACGTCTGCTTTCACGAAATTAAGATTATAAATTACTGGCGCGCGCGTGACATATGTTTGCGAGTGGCAAAAAGTTGAAAAAATTCGTTGAAGATTTGATTGTGTCATTACGTCTCGTTTGTGCAATGTTCCTACATTAATCACTTCATATTTCTCAACCAAACCAAGACAAAAACAAAATCATTTACAATCAGTGCCGTACTTTTCATTCCTAAGTCACATATTCCGAATTTACTTCCTCCGTTACAACTTTTATAAGTTTTCAAACACTACTGGATTACTTTCTCGTCTCATTTTTCAATGTATTGCTAACGTTTTGTTTAAAAATTTATAATTTAAGATTTTTGTTCGTAGTAGTAACTAGTAACCATTCAATTTTTTCAGTGCTTTCGAATTAAAACTATAATAACCTCGATTCAAAAATAATCGCTTCATTACGTTCCCTTCTTTATGCTTTTCACTTGTCGTATTACTCCATTTTTAATATATTTTGAGTAGGAATGTGTATAGTATTTGTAATGGGACTTTTTGTTGGTTCATATGTACAAGTTTTACAATTTAGCGACAAAAATTGTCCTTAACGATGCGAATAAAGCACAAAAATGGCAAAATGACTTAGATGCTAGATAATCGTTCACAAAATCATAGTCCATGTCATGCGTTCCACAAAATCACAGACAAAATCATCCCATCTGGTATTGCATTTGGCTGTCGTTGTCGCACACGCACACATTGTTCATCGAAATCAAAGTACAAACGCGTAACGCCACTGCTACGAAGCGGACGCGTTGTGTCGCTTCTGTGAACCGCCGACGTTGTTCTTCATCCCACGTCCACCACTTCCAGTAGTCGACGTGGACATACCACCGCCTCCGGTGAGTAATTTAGTCTCTTCTGTGGGCGAGGAATCTTCCATTGGCGGTGGTGGTGGGCAAATATACAGCGGTGTATCGCCCGTGCTGTATTTCACCGCTTGACCATGCCGTGATCCTGCTCCTTGAGAGCGACGCGTTGTCTGCGCCTGCGTCGGTGCCTGCGTTTGCATAATATCATCGAGTAAGAAAAGCGGCGATTTCATTGTCATAGTCATCGCTCGCATTCCACTCTCAGCTTGTTGTTGATAGGCGGGTGGCGGAGGTGGCAGACGCGTTACTCTACGATGTGGCGCCACCGTCGCCATGCCACGCACCGCAGGCGGTGAAGACATTCTTTTATGTGGCGAGGATTCTCCACCACTGCCTTGTCCATCAGCGCCACCAGCCGAAGCACCATCGGAGATAAGCCGCTCACTTTCCGGATCTGTCGCACTGCGATACCCGCTACTGTCGGACTTCTTCAGGATGGACTTGGAGCGTCGATTGCTCTCCAGCTGCGGCGAGGCGCGCGAATCGATCGAGTCGACTGACAGCGACGATTTACTGCTGCTATTTTTACCTACAACGTTAGAAAACGTATATAAAACACTCACCATACACGCCCACTTCCTACAAGCTAACATAACCTAATTCACTTCCTTGCGGCAAAATAGATATTAATATATTCTTCGAAATTAGCATTTGTAAGAAAGCAACAGCAAAGATATATGATTACGGCCGTTATTAATGTACGCCATTCTTTTGTTGCAGGCCATAAAAATAGGTTATGTACCTGAACGCGAGCCAATGCTGCTCTGGATGCCAAACAAGTGCTGATTGATAATGCGCGTCGCCGACGCCAGGCCGCGCGTTGGCATAAAGGACGTGCGCTTCTTTTTCGTCGGCTCCTGCGAGAGACTCTCCTGCGAGTCGCGATTCTCCAACGAATCACCGAAACGCGCCTTCAGCCGTCCATGACTCTGCACATACATTACAATAAATAAATAATAATTACCATGAGGAACATAAATAACAAAGAATAATGATTATTTCTGACCTGCTGGAAGCGCGTCCTTCGCTGTCGTTGTGGTAATGGCGATTCGTTGAGACTCACACGGCTCCCTCTATCGAGCGCGGCGAAATCTCGATAATGGTCGTCTAATGGCGACGCAGCCAAGTTCCGCAACGCCGTATCACCGGAAGCGGACTTCTTAACGCCGCCAGCAGGCCGCACCGCCTTCGGGGCATCCGGACTATTCTCACCGCTCTTGTCCAGTGGGTTTACATAGAGATTACTATCAATAGCACAACTCCCATCGGCGATGTCAGATGTCAAATCGCCCTGCGAGAGGAACGGATGCGTTGGGCAACTGGCGAATGTATCCGAACTATCCATACTGCCCATTTCAGCATTATTATTGTTGTTGTTGTTATTACTCGCGTGGTTATTGTTAGCCCCGTTATTGTTATTGTTATTAAGAGCGTGTATACTGTACGGCAGGAGCGGTTTGCGCACGTCCACTTCATCAAAGAATCCAGCTGCGTTCATCAGATCAGCACTGCGCAGCTGTCGCATCTCGAAACACACCGGCTGCCGGAAGTCGCTGGTGCCGGTCGGCATCAATCCTTCAGCGTCGACGAAGTCCTTATACTCCTGCGTGACAAGACAAGAAGACACCAGCCGTGCAGAAACGAATTTCTCGAGCGCAAATTCATTGGTTTTAGATAGTATTAAGTAATATTATCATGCAGGGATTGCGTAAATGTGTTTCGTCAACAAAGAACACTTTATCTCAATTGAATTACACATTGAAATCATAAAAGAACCAACACACAAAGAAAGTCAAACGAGCAAGTAGGTAATGTAGTAAACTGTAATAAATAGTTCTATAAATGGTTAATAGTGGCGTGCGTGCAATGGCGGATTATTCGTGTTTGGGTGGAGCTCGAATTATGAATAATGCCTACTGCCCTAATGCGCTATTCTACAACTATAGAACTGTATACTTGTTGTGCGGCAGTGGCGTGCAGGTCGGTCGAATTTTATTATCACATCATCATGCTGCTTTCGGGGGCCCGCCATTAGATATTCATGAGCGCGCTCGCGATGACACGACGACCGGTTAACTGTTTGCGTCGCTCGTTTGTTTTTGTTATTGCAGGTTATGTCCGAGAAGCAAAACAAATCAACCACAAACGACCAAAAAAACAAACGAAATAAAATGATATTCTCGGGGGTTTGATGGTTAGTGGAGTAGTTGGGTAAGTATTTTGGAGATTTCAAACTCACCTGATGCATATATCGCTAATTGATGTGTATGTTTGTGAATATTGTGATGGAAGAGGAGGCATCTCGATATTTGGCTTGTTTGTTTGTTTGTATAGTTTATTCACGCGGGTATTTAGTGATTGGTCGTGGCCGCCGTGCGCTTGGTCGGCCGCAGGGGTATGCACTCTCCTCGGCAGCGTCCTTTGCATTCCTGCAAATTCGACGCCGCGTTACGCACATGTATCACAACGCAACTCGACTCAGATCTCAGCGCTTCAAGGGTGGCGGAGTAGGCGGTTCATTCATGATTACAGTTTGAATCTTGCACAAAATGGCACAATGAGCGCGCGCTCTCCCGCTGTTTAAGCTGTTTGCGAAAAAGCTCCGCTCGTTAGCTGGCCGGGAGACACTCCACACACAGAAGGAGCGCGAGAGAGCGAGAGATAGAGATACGACAGTTAGATAACTAGCGCACATTTGTTAGACACTTAAAACTTAAAGCCGAGATTAACACAAAACAAACGAGAGTAGAAAAATCATAATCATAATAAACCTAGGACATGTTTTGTTTTTGAAGTTTTTGGTATTAAAAATTAATTTTTAATGATTTTCGCCGACCAGCTTAGAAATTCTGAAATATTATTTGAACATAAAATTAACTTTTTAATTGCACAAAGTGCTATTTAACCATACTTTAACTCAATTACACGCTGAACGTATGCAATTTAACATACACAATTTGCTAAACTGCTTATAATCAATTTTTTTGATATTTATTATTAGCTGATCAGCGAAAACCTCATTGGCAACACTTGCAAAATGCTTAAAAAGTCACTTTCTGCATGTGTTGTCTCCTATACAAGATAAATTTGTTGTTTATTTGTTTATAGAATTGTTTATTAACTTGTATGTGACAAAAAATGTATTCTGGTGTTTGAAACGAAAGAAAAAAAAAACACGTGGAGTTAAAATTTTTGGTCGTTTGGTATAGATAGCGTCTCACAGTCACCGAATTGTCCAATTAATAGCTTACAGCTTACAAAAAACAAGCGCACACACAAGAGAATCATTACTCAATACACATACAGAGCTAGAATATACAAACAACAATTCTAGGAACAACCACAACAAAACACAAGACAAAAATCACACAATCAAAAAGTCAAATCATGCGCATCGTCCAACATGCTCACAAAATATTAATTTGTACATCATAAATTTATATTTGCACACAAATAACAATAATTTAAACAGAAATCGTTAAAAATTTCATAAATTATTATTATTTGCACGTTTAAATCGATTAATTCGATTGATAATGATCATGATAAATGAAAATGAGAATGAAATATGAATTTGAAACGTTGGTAAATTTTCAAAATGGCTGTCGATTGATGGTAATGCCTGATGGATAATAATGTACGAGTAGATACCTTCGAGGTGCAAAAGCAACATTCGAATTCGCTAGGCAACTCGTCAATTTTGTCGACCTTATTATTCTTGTTCGAGTCGGTATTTTTGCTGTCCGCCTAACACAGCCCATCAGAGACAGAGACAGATCCAAAACAGAAAGAAACAGAAATATCGGGTAGCACACTAGTTGCATTCAACCGCCATTCAAAAATAATCAAAAATCAGGACCGAATTTAGGTAATTACCACTTTTAATTACGTGGGTAGATTTAATTTTTCAACAATTAAATAAAAATAAAATATATACAATTTTGGGTTGTTTTGGTGCAATTTTAGGTTATGTTATATAAAAAATTATACGAAACATCAAATCATCCCACTGATGCAATTTTTTCTGTGTTAAAATGTTTAAAATAATTAATTAAAATAAACTCACCCCTGGAGATATGTATCCTTTGGGAGTGGGGGCAGGAGGACTGTTTCGTCCCTGTGCGAGTGGCGCCATTGCACACAACTGCAACTGATGCTCCTCAGGCGGAGCAAGATCCACCAGGCGTTGCTGCAGTTGCTGTTGCTGCAGTTGCTGTTGTTGCAATTGCTGTTGATACAACTGTTGCTGTTGTCGTTGTTGTTGTTGTACGCCTGCTGTTGCTGCTGCTGCTGTTGGAACTGCGCTGCAGCTGGTGCACCTACTGCTCGTGGTCGTCGTGCTGTTGCTGCACCTGCTGCTGCTGCTGGTGCTGATTGAGCGCCTTCTGCGAGCCGACGGGCGACACTGGAACTGGAGGTCCATCATTGATTGGAAGACAGGGTGCTTGGGAAGAGTTGCTACGTCTATGGCGCAACGCTACATCGCTGAACGGCTGATGGGCGTGACCTGATTGCGCGAGTGGGGGCGGCGCCGCCGTCGCCGCGTGCTGCTGCTGGAGGAGTGGCTGCTGGGCGGTCGCCGTCGGCTGATAGTCGCCGCCCTCGCTACCGCTAATCCCGTCCATCCCCGGTATGTTGTGGCCTGGGCGAATCAGAGGAGAAGGACACACGTTTTTCGGTCAGCTAACACCACACTCAATCGATTCACAGAGAGAAGAGAGAAAGAAAGAGAGAGAGAGATGAAAAAATTTCAAAACAAAAACGTGAGAGCGAGTTGGTAAATAAAAATATTGCTACCATGCTACCATCGAAGGTACACGTGATTCTTAATCAATCGTCTAAATAAATAAATAGAAATATATATTCAAAGCGATGAACTTTGCCGAGCAATTTGGTTCAAAATCATAAACAAACCGAAACGTGTGAAGTACGTGTCCAAAGTTCACACATTCCGATAAAAGCTTGCAAACGAAGAGGCGTGGCCAAGCTCAACGACCAGCCACGCCCCTTTTTATTGAAATAAATCGTAATTTCGAGGAATGCCAAGTATGTGATGGTAGAATATTTATATATATAAAATTGTATTTGTGGAAAGTTGACGTGAAACGCAAAGAAGCGGCGAGAAACAAATTAAATATTTAGCACTGTTGTTGGTTTTTTTTTTCGATTTATGTTTTCATTTGTCATCCAGCTCGTATACATGTGGTGTTCATGTACAATATTATTAAAAGTTTTTTTACACATCGATCGTGAGTGAGTTTAGCGTCCATTGATTGCTCGAAACAAACACGACACGAGAACAAACAGAAAAGAGCAAAGTGATAGAAAGTGTGCGTATCTTTGATTTGATTTTTTTTTTTTGGTTTTTGCTATGGCGAGTTTCGGCGATTGTCTTCATTTCCACCGATCAGGGCACTCTTTTCACCTGGGGAAGAAGACAAATCGTCTTAAAACTCTTCCTCTGAGAAAGATGCGGAGAAACGCAAGAAAGATGCAAAGCGAGCAAGAGTGGGCGGCGCTAGCTAAGGGAGGTGGGGTGTTACCTGTTGTGCGGTTCCATTCGCATCGGCACGGAACTAAAGAGCTAAGCTAACGTAATGAGGTGTGTGTGTGTGTGTGGGTGGAATGAGTATACGTGTGTGAGATAGAGTGTGGTCAGCGTAGGCGTGTCGCAGTTGGTGTAGTGGGTGTGGTGGTGGTGGCCTCGCCTGTGGAGAGAGCGATGATAGCGCGCGCGCACACCATTCACGTCACATCGAACACAAACGAACATCGAACGAACGAACAAGCGCAAGGGGCGAGGCGTGTGGACGCGCCATGCGTGTATGTGTGGGTGTTGCCGGCGGTCGACACGCCCCGCGCGCCCCGCCTGCGACGTACCTGTGTCGACGATGACGTCGATGAGGTCCATGCTCTTGGCGAACGCGTCGCGCAGATTGATATGGTGGAAGGAGACGATGCTGCCCTCGCGCTTGGCGCGCTCGAGCGCCTCGCGCCGCTTGAGGGCCTTCTCGCGGCGCATCTGGTTCTTATAGAATTCGGCAAAATTGTTAACGATGATAGGAATGGGCAACGCAATCACCAAGACACCGCAAATACAACATACACTTCCTATGACCTTCCCGAGCGGCGTCGTCGGATAAATGTCACCGTAGCCGACGGTGGTCATCGTGATGCCCGCCCACCAGAAGGTCTCCGGTATACTGATAAACTTCGTATCTTTTTCTTCCTTTTCGGCAAAATAGGCCAGCGAGGAGAAGATGAGCACGCCCATCGCGAGGAAGAGCATCAGCAGGCCGAGCTCCTTGTACGAGTTGCGCAGCGTGAAGCCGAGCGACTGCAGGCCGGTGGAGTGGCGCGCCAGCTTGAGGATACGCAGGATACGCATGATGCGGAACACCTGCACCACGCGGCGCACGTCCTGGAACTGATCGGTGGCGTTCTTATTCGTCTCGAGCAGAAACAGCGAGACGAAGTACGGCAGGATGGCGAGCAGGTCGATGACGTTCAGCCCGCCCTTGAAGAACTTCCACTTGTTGGGCGAGGCGCCGAAGCGCAGGATGTACTCGAGCGAGAACCACGTGATGCACACCACCTCCACCATCGCCAGCTGCGGGTTGTCCATGGGCGCGCCCGCCTCGTCCAACATCTGCATGCTCGGGATCGTGTTGAGCGTGAGCGCGATCGTCGACAGGATTATGAACAAGATGGATATGATGGCGATCACCTGCGACAACAACGACACACTACATCCTCCCGCCATTCCAAATGCCCTCATGTTGCTTGCTCAGTCATCATCTCAGCGCGGGACGGACACGCTACGTGTACTCGTGTGGAACTGCCACTGGGCATCTCAAACGGGACGGATCCGGGCATGGGAGGGGCTACTAATCAACTACTAACTACCTACCAAGAGCACCAAAACACTAGTTACAGACAATGATGCCAACCGTGGGAATTTTTATCCCCAAATTCAAGAACTAGGAAATTTGTGAAAGATATTTGGGGACTAATATTGTTTAGGTTGGCATCACTGGTAGTTATAGGTTATAACGGAACACATTAGTTATAGGCAGTGATACCAACTTTAAAAATTTAGTCCCTAAATGAAGTAACAAGCAACTTCAAGGTTGGCATCACTGGTTATACGGTTTATAACCGCTAACATCACTAGTTATACGCAGTGATGCCAACTTAGGAATTTTAGTTCTGAAACTAATAGATTTTAGGAGAAAGAGGGTCATAATTATTAATTGTTAAATTTAAAACAAAGTTGTTAGTTACAACACGTATAACTCAAGAACGGCTGCACAGATTTTGATGATCTTTAGCTTTTTGGGTTTGTTTCAGCCCAGAATAGCAAAAATTCTAATTTAAAGGGTGTTAAACAAGGAATTTTAACTGGTATAGCAATTCTATCATAGTTATACCTAAATAAATGAATCTTAGATGGCGTTAAAATGCAATATGAGCATTTTTCATTACAAAATTAAAAATATTTAATATTTGGGGACAAAAATCTAATAGGTTGGCACCACTGATTACAGGTTATAACCGGAAACGGACGGATGAGGTGGTGGTGAGGCATTGCGTTCAGCTGGTAACAAAGCGGAAATACACAGCGTTGAATCAAAAACAAAACCAACAAAACACAAAAACAAAACGTGAACATAATGAGTGGAAGAAAAAGAGCTCCGTGTGTTATCAGTGACATCATCTTCGTGTATCGTGTGAACTTTTCAAATACGTTCTCAAAGTGAGACAGAGAATAAGAGCAACAACATCAACACATCAATTAGAGAGTGCGAGTTTCGGTCACATGTCCCGTCCGTTCGTGATCGCACTGGCTATACATATTCATATATATATGTATGTATATAAAATATTCATTAAGATTTCATCTCATCATCATTAGCAACTTAGCAACATTCAGGTATTGAAATAGGAAGCAATGTACAATAGCTCGAACCCCTCGTGCCACTCGCAACCAGTCTACGCTAATCGGCTATCTGCGCGTCCAAATGATATTCAGAACGTAAATTTATAACAAAACGCCACGCCCACGCCGCCCGCGTCACCCCCACCACTTTTTCGGAAAGAGAGTGGGGAGCTGGGCGGGCGCGCAGAGGCATTCTCCCCTCTCCCAAAAAATTCTAAGACATAGCGAACGCAAACCCCATCTATGGTAAGTATGCCAAACCAAGCAAACTGGACTAAGTAAAAGCGCGACGACACATGTAGCGATTAGAAGGCTCGATTATGAATGGCACATCTAAATTTGGCTAAGGAGGTTCGCGATTGCGCGGTCTGGTTATTGCGTTATGCCCATTGCGTCTGCCACCAACATGTACAAAATATGATTATTAGTAAATTATTTTCAGCGATTGGTCAAAGAGACGACATCGAACGATTGAAATCAGAGACACAGCCAAAGAGAGAAACAGAGAGATAGAAGAGAAATATTCAGCAAGCGTCCTTCGGCCGTCGATAGAGCGGATCTAGAACAGTCTTCGCAGGTTTGGTTTAATTCTTGGTTTAAATCATGTTAGCATCACACCACATTCACACGCACACATACGTTGTGATAAACATTTATATAAAAATTATTGTGTTGTTAGTTAAGTAGTAAAAAGATTATTTTTTGGTATTTGTGTATATATATATATATAGCTTTTGTTCTGATTTGGTATTCCATGTCATGCAAAGCTAGCTCGTTTCAAATGATGATTCGGGTCGGAAAATTTTAATCGTGCTCTATTATGTTTCTGTATCTTTTTTCTCGTTTCAGTTACTTACTACTACCCTAGGCTTAAAGAATTTCTATATCGCTATCGACTTGAACACAAATGTATTATAACAAAGGTATAGTATAGGTATAGATAAGTCTGGCCTGTGGCGGGGTACTCACCCGCGCCGTGATGGACGTTGTGGGTTTTTCCAGTGTGTCCCACAGCCATTTTTGGTACTGCGAGCATTTATCCTCGCCGAATTCCTCTTCGTCGCGCTGTCGGAGCGATTCGGCTTCCTTTCGCATTTCCTCGTGTACGTGTTCCTTACGCTGGTGGTACTTGTGCTGGCAGCATGATTCGAGGTACAGCTCATCAACACCCCAATACTCAAGGTCGTCGGAAAACGCCAGCACGCACATCTCGTCGACTAAATGGAGTTTTCCGGTGCGGTAGAAGTTCAGGATGGAGCTGAACGATTTCGGGTGGCGGTCGAAGAAGTACTCGTTGTCGATGAGCGAGTAGTCGTCGCACAACTCGCTGAGCGTCTCGTGCGTGTTGCAGTCGCGCAGGCGCCCGAGACGGGTATGCGGAAGACGGTCGAGCGTGCGCCAGAGGACCTCGTGGCGCACGCCGCCGACGTTAATGCACACGCGCCGATTGACGGCCTTGGAGCGCATGATCATGAACGGCTCCGGTGGCAGCGAGGACATCGAACGCGAGTACGGACGCTGCATCGGCAGCGGAAGCGCGGGCGGCGGTGGCGGCGAGGAGGTCGGGTACATTCCCCCCTCGCCGCCCCCGCCGCCCGCCGCTGAGTCGTCCCACCGCACGGCCAGTCCATCGCCGTCGCGATCGCCCACCATCTGCTGATGCTGCTGCGGGTGGTGCGCGTGCGCGTCGCTGCTAGCCGTGCCGGTAGGTCTCCCAAGCCCTCATCCGCCGCTACCTTCGCCGCCACTTCTTTGTGTCATCCTGATCTGCAACAGTACGGAATCATCACGTCAACATCTGGTTTTACTCAAGTGTTCCAGCAAGTGGCACTCTCTCATCCTTATCAAGTATCTCAACGCACGCTAACTCGACTAACAAAGCAACATTAGCCATAGGCACGAAATGACATCGCATGGGTAGCACTATCGTGTCGCATCACGACAGGAGGTAGGGAGCGATAGGCAATCTCCCTCGCACGGGACACACAACAGACGCGTGGAGAGCAGGAACATTCCGGATGTGCCGGATGCTCCAAGTTGCAACCTCTGATGTTTCAAACACACTCAACACAATTAACTACACTATTAATTCAAACATGTGTTTGTATCATAACCTAAACACACACGTAAAAACTGTTATTTGACAGTTGTGTGTATACTTGATTGCATACGGTATTATGCATAGGTATACAATATTCACCGTTTCCAATTTTCTCGTCTCGATACGTTTTCTCGACTTTCTAGGAAAGTCCAGCGATCGATAAAACGCAAAGGTAATTAATTTTCTATCATGTTGCCGACGTGCGCGCTGCGCGTCGAACGCACACGAAAATCCATATCATCGAACGGAACGTCTCCATTCGTGAAGGCGCAGCACAATGTCGCACACACGCATTCATTATTCAACGCGCGATTAGTAATTCATGTACAGCAACATTGCCATCCTGTCCTGTTTACACACTTCTCAAATTTCATCCGCGTGAAATATTAGCACCCAGCTATTTTTATATTTTACTTCTATGTAAATTACTTAAAAGAAATTCATTTTAAACAAAATTAGAAAAGAAAAAAGTTGGTTATCTAATGTGTGCTATGCATGCACATGTCTCAACGCTGACACGCCGCCATCTTGTACATCGCTAAATCACCCAACACGCAATCAGTTAAAAACTAAGGCTCACATGTTAAAATATGTAAAACAAACCAAGTTGGTGGTGCTTGATGCATCAAACAAACTGTGCTAACATTAATTACTCGCGTTTAACCTCCAAGAGAGACTCAAGATTAATTTCTTTCTTTTGATTCCTGTGTCTTGACTGCAGTCGGTCTGTATATATGTGTGGAGTGGATTATAACGACATGTTTTTTTTTCCTTTTCTCGCTTGGATGGCAGAGGGCCAACCCTGAAGCAGTATTTCGCGTCGTTATTATTCGGCGCCTCTTTGGGTTTTTCTTTCGCATCGTATAACTCATTGCGCGGAGGGTTTTTAGGCGAAAACAAAAACATCATTTATGCGGGGTGGTCACCTGCCAAACGGGTGCCAAGTCCGTTTGCCGATTTCGCCGCGGAGTGCGCCTTCATAAATTCTAACAAACTGCTGGCACCGAACTAAAAAAATACTACGAAGAAAGAATTATGTACGGACGAAAGTTTGCGGAGAATTGACAAAAGGATCACGATTGATTGCGATCTGAATTTACATTTACTATCGCAATGCGGATATGTAAAGATTTAAAATCGTGTTAGTTACAGCATTTATAACTCAGGAACGGGTGATCAGATTTTGATAATCTATAATATGTTGGATACATCTCAACCCCGATTAGAATAACTGTTAAAATATTAAAAATTATAATTTAAAGAGTGTTAAATAAGGGATGAAAGCTGATATAGAGATTCAATCATATTTATGACTAAATAATTAAATCCTAGATGGCGCTTAAGTGCATTATATGCATTTCCCATTGTAATAAAATAAAATTTCGAATCAAAGATGTCCAATTATTTACATTTTTACTTAAAATTACGACGATGAGGTCACGGCCTAAACTTGTTTTAAATAAAAGCTATATTATAAATATTTATGCTAGTTTTACAGGTAAAAGTTGTGTTTGACAGGATAATAGAAGTGCAAAATAGGAAAATGTAATGTGCATGTCGATCGTAAGGTACGATTGGCATAACGTGCACGGCATTTGCTTAATTGCAAACAAAACGGAGTTAATTAAGTTTAACAACTTGCACAAAACAGAAAAAAAGATATTAAACTAATTTATTACCTAATTTTAACGTCAAAAATGGTGCTTTTATTATTTTTGTGCTTAAAACACAATTTTTTAACAACTAATAATAAAAACTAGTTTTTGCCCTCGTTTTTTCTACGTAGATTTTATTTTACTTTAGAAATTAGAAAGAAATTAGAAATGCTAATAATGCACTTTAACGCCATCTCTGATTCAATTATTTAACTATAACTATGTTTATATCTCCATACCAATTTTGATTCCTAATTTAACAACTTTTAAGTCATAATTTTTTATATTTTAATAGATATTCTGCTATGTTGGACAAAGACAAATTCAAAAAATCAATAACAATCAAAATTTGTTCAGCCATTCTTGAGTTATAAATGTTGTAACTAACACGTCTTTGTTTTTTATATATAAGTGTCAAAATTTATAGTTTGACTTTCAAATAACCTCAAAAATATAATTACCGTGTATAAAATATCACTTTACACACTCCACAAGCAATGCACAATTACTGTCACTTAATATTTCTAAATTTTATGAAAAATGATGATTTAAAGATTTACTTTTGTGCGGATGGTAAATAATACCCGCGGCTGTCCATCGCCTGTCGCATTAAGCCTTCGTTTTATACGTTTAACCACTTTGTGCGCTGCCGTTGCGCCGCGGGCGGATACATCCCGGAAACAAATGAAAAGCGCACATCGCGCGCTTTTTGTTATTAGCGTCGCCGTCGCAGTCATAGTCGTCGCGCGTTGTTGCTGTCCGCTTATTCCGGCGCTTAGCAGTCGAGTGCGCTTTCCTATTCATCCCATCCGCCATTGTCTTGCAAAACACTTCAAACCTAACTCAAAAAAAAACGCGCACATTTAAATGCTCCAACATAACCTCAAATGTGTTTTCGCAGTGACGTCATCAATGACGTCAGCGACAAGAGTGGTTTGCGGCGCGCACATAAAAATAGAGTTAATTAAGTAAATTGCTTCGAATTTAACGCTTCGGTACACGAAGCTATGAGGTTCGAGTTACGCCGAAGTCCTTGGAGGACGACGAGAACATAAGGTGCACATCGTTTGCGTTCGTGTGTTGGTTTTAGTTGTGTACAAAACGTAAAACGTAATTAAAATAATTAAAACCGTAATAGTTTACTCAAATAAGAAAAAAAAATTACTCAACAGTTGAATGAACATATTGTTTTCGCAATAGATTCATTCGCGAGTGACACACAACGACGAAAAAAACAGGAGTAGAGTACGCGAAGAGGAAACGATTCCATCTGGGGAGCTGGAGGATTGCGGCGTTCGCCTCCTTTTGTGCGAAAACCTTCAACTCGAGCGATAGAATCCACACGCCGATGGGTTTATAGCCGGATGGCTATGACCGAGGAGCTCAAACCCTCGCGTCGACTCCGACAACGAAAAGGTCAGGGGTCGAGTGCGCGCGTTACGCTACAAGCTGTGCTCTCGTCAGTCGGCCAGGATAAGAAAAGAGAAAATGGTGAAAAGCTTCGATCACGATGCGTGTCTCACTGGTTTAATATTGAAGGCATAGCGGCGGCGGGTTTTTTTTCCCGTTCGCCACGGCTAACGAATACTGAATAATGGCATTAATCAATCATTAAAATGCGAAGGGAAAGTGATACGTCAAGTTGTATTACGAGTAGGACATCAAAGACTCAATTTCAAGCAAAAATTCTGTTGAAAAAGTTATTATTTGAGGTTAGGTAAATTATTTTGTTTGTGTTATGCAACTTTTTGACCACGAATGATTGTCATTAATATAACTCGTTGGTTTTATGCGTTTTGGCTTCGAAAATTGCAAAAATACACGCGCAGCGAGACGAAACGAATTCGAAAATTATGTAGAGCGTGTGTATCGTGTATACGATTCCCACGATTCGTGTCGGTCGCTGCAAAAAACCAGCCAGCAAATACAAATCACCCCGCCATTAGCATTTCGCCCGCTTGGAAATTTCGTATTTCGTTTTTGTTGCGCGCATTATGAATAATATCGCAATTTAATATCGCGATTTGATTTTCTACAAAATTCCCAAGGCGACCTTCCACTGCAAAATGGTTATTAGTTAATTAAAGTCAACAAGAGATACAAATTGCTATAAAATTTGAGATTTTAACGCTAGATGGCGTTTGTAGCCATTTTAGTAGTGCATACATCGTTTCGATGCAATTTGAAGCAATTTAATACCCGCACGAATTTAATACCGTGCGCATCTATCGATTGTGATGGTCGAACATAATCAGAAATAATGAGTTATCACAGCGGTGCCTGCGCGTTTTCCGCGCTGCCGGCCGAATTGCCATTTCCGCTCGAGCGCGTCGATTCCACCGCGCGTGCCAATTAATTAAAGCCGAAAAGGCCAAAAGTACTGTACTACACTTTATATCCACTTGTGCTAATACAACGAACATCAAACATCGATAAATAATATTTTACTTTTTTTTAAGCTGGAAATTTATGTGTTAACATTATATAAATTGAATTATTTGCGATGGAAGTTATGCAGGATGCAGATGTGCCCGAAATGTTTGGGCTGGAGAACCAGCGAGAAAAATGAGGTAAAGGTCGCGGTCAGTCTCTCTGAGCGAAATGTCAAACGAGCACGACGTGCTATCGCGAAATATCATCCAGGGCAAGCACAATATAAATAATACACAAACGACTCGCACGCGGACGGCGATTAATTGTAAGATTGTAAACAATTTGCATATTTGCACTCATGATTAACATCATTAAGTGGAAGTTATTATGAAAAAAACTTATAAAAGTGTCGGATGTCAAAAGTATAATCTAGTTGAAACTATTTTACACCAGATGGCGCTGAAAACAAAGGAAATTGTGTGTTTTTGTGAATGCGTTTATATTTAGATTAAACATTGCTAAAATGAACTAAATCGTATTGATACATTTTGTTTTTGTAGATTATACGTAGCTGCAAGTGCAAAGCTTGATTGACAGCTGACGATATACATGCAAACATGTTGAATCTGTTGAATACG